AAAGGTTGAAAAAAATAACGATTTCAATTAAGTACAATGTATTTCAAACAAGAGGATGTCTTGTGTTCAAAAATGGACAATGTTTTACTTTGGATGCTTACACGTAGAAAAGCTCAATAGCACAATATATTTTGTCCGGAAACGAGAATATAAGTCAGTGATTACAATAAACATTACAATGTTCAATATATCTTTATGATATAATATTTTGGTTTGTGAGAAAAAATATTAACGGTGCAATACTTTTTCAAGCTGTATAAATAAAGCACAATTGCTTCCTTCTGACATTTAAAGAAAACCGACATCTTTTGTGTCAAATGAAATTGAAGATTCTGAGAAAAAAGGGCATATTAGATAAATTACCTCGTAGACATGTTGAATGTTATATTTGAATGGAAATTTGAAAATACACAAACGAACAGTATTACAATGAGATTTTTTTATTAACCTATATCTGAACTCGACTGCGGACTTTCCTCTGTTTCATCAGTGACAAAAGTCCCCACATCAGTCCTGTTAAAATTAAAGAAAAATCATGTACTAATGGGACAAACGCATCTAGAGCAGTTTTTCTTTACAGTTCTTCCGAATAAAAATAAGTACCTCTTATTTTTATAAATAACATTTTTTACTTTCATTTGAGTGATACTCAGGACGATATAGACTGTTCAAACTACAACTTGCGCATTGTTTCTAAAGTTGTTTATTACACATATTTTGGTTATCGCTTCCTATGTTTTCAGATTCACCTTATTCTAATATACTATTGTTTTTTTTTTGTTTCAAGGTTTTGTAAAATGCGTACTTGACGAAAAAAGTAAAATAACAAAAATACCGAACTCCAAGGAAAATTCCAATTGGAAAGTTCGTTATCAAATGGCAAAATCAAAAGCTCAAACACATCAAACGATTTCCCTATTTATATTTTTCTTGAATAAAATGCACTGAACTGTTTTAAGCCAGGCGTGATCCGGTTAAATTAATGGAGCAATAACCAATTGAAAAAAAACATTACCAAATAATGAAAATTTTGTACACACTTAAAACAGTCATGCAAAATTTTAAATTGTGATTGATAATGTTAGAAAACATCCACAATATTGGATCAAGATAAAAAAAATATGGCAGCTGAGATATATGTGGATATATGCAAAGATTCTTCCTACTATACAAATCCTTGATATATGCAAATAAATATTGTTTCCGAACAGAAGTCGTATTAAGATTGTTTTTTCATCATTGCGTTTTACCGATCACGTGATAATTAATGTAAATAACAGCTACCATCACACAATAAACGATCTATTTTCTGTGTATCGATGAATGATTATTACCTTTCCGATCCTAAGGATCCTGATCCTTCGGTTGATGTCCATAGACCGTTAGTAGTTGATGTATCTGCTTGCACAATAGTCGATGTCGTTTGTCCATTTGTTGGAATCACAGGTATGTCACCTCTACCTTCTCCAAATAATAAGGTTACACTTTTTTTAATCATATATTACTTTTGACTTCATTTGTATAGACCGTTTAAAAAATAATAGTAAGCATTTTGAACCATTTGAAAATATATTTGAATATAAGTTTTGATAGCTTTGACACACATTATAGATACTTTTTAGTTCAGAATAGTTCATAGGCGACTCTTAAATTTATGAAAGTATAAAACTGTAAAAGAAATAAGTCGTACTGAAAAATTTACTGACTTAAAAACAAAAACGCAGGAATAATCTATTGCAGAAGAATTTAATATACCGCTTTTCTAAACGTATAAACTATCAGTTTGCTATTAGTTTCAAATTCTATCATATTTTCATACCTGCAACTTTCTAATAATATCATATGTTGTATAACTTCCGGTTTTTGGATGATTATATTTTTTATCGTGTTGTCTCCTGCTAACATGAACATTATAATTGATAAGGTAATATTCTTTTGTCTTTTTTGGGATTCCATTTGTCTTTTTCCACTAGACTTTTTTTCTCGCCCTATATGGAACTTACTGACGTATCAGGTCACAAGCACATTGTGTAACTAATATTATATTATCTCCTATGAATATCATTGGTTGAAATATTTGGTCAGGAGGTGTGTCTTTTTTTAAAACACGGTCAGTTGGCGTGGTTAATTTTAAATACACGGTTAGCAATACAGTTACATTCCTTTTAAAAACACAAAACGGTGTTGTTCTCAAATTAACATACATTGTTAACATACATAAATATAATTTTGTCATGCTTTTAGACAAAATGTGTGACTTCTATGAATGTTCTAAGTCTTTTTAAAATTGTGATAACAAGGATTCACGCTAAGTCGAAATTCCTCATTTGAAGATAGTTGGTAAGATAAATTCGTTACACAGTGTGCTAGTGACCTAATACGATATTCTAGTATACGGTGTAAATAAATTTCATATGGGGCTCGAGCTTCGCTTTCTTTTTTTTAAAACTAAACCACGCCCACTGACCGTGTATTTAGAATAAAACACGCCCAATGACCTTTTATTGTATATATACACGGTTCCAACGCGTTCGCTTTTAACCAATGATATTCATAGAAGTATAGATGAGGTAAGATAACATAGAATACGCAGTACAATTTTACCTATGTTTTGATATATAGTGATAACCTTGAAAAAACTCACGCCAGTTTCCATAACTGATAGTGAAAAGTAAAATAACAAAAATACCAAACTCCAAGGAATATTCAAAACGGATAGTCCTTTAACAAATGGCAAAATCAAAAGCTCAAACACATCAAACGAATGGAAAACAACTGACTTGGTACAGGTATGTCCTTATGTAGAAAGCGGCTGTCTACAATACTTCTCTGACACAGGTACTAAATGTTTGGTAGATATCATTCAGAAATTGCCTCTTGTTTATATTCTCCATTTGAAATTATGAAATAAGGGTAAATATTACTTGTTAGAACATACTTTTGAATTCTTTGAACAGACGAGTTCATTACAAAAGTACGGGATATCGTCTATACCATGAAAAACTTCAAACGTGCAAAAGCTGCTATTTGTTGCTTTAAGTGACGCGAAGGAACTGTAACGCGTTACTCTAGGTGAGGTGAACTAACTGATACGAGTTGCTCTAGTGTACGCGAACAACGTTGCCTCAGGGTATGCAAACGAACTGCACTGCTGTCATTCAGGCTTTTCAAAGCATTGAAAAATCAAAATATATTAACATCACCTCGCTTCAGATATTTTTATATGTTGATTTAGTAACTTTCAAAATTCACATAATTGTTAGAACCAAATATACTGGTTAAGTGAAATATTGAGCAATGAATCATCGAAACAGATTTAATAACAAGAATGTGTCCATATTACACGGAAGCCCCACTCGCACTATCATTTTCTATGTTCAGTGGACCGTAAAATTGGAATCAAAACTCTAATTTGGCATTAAAATTATAAAAATCATATCATAGGGAACATGTGTACTAAGTGTCAAGTTGATTGGACTTCAACTACATTGACCAAAACCTTTAACCTGAAGCGGGACAGACGGACGAACGAACGGACAGACGAACGAACGGACGCAAAGACCGAAAAACATAATGCCCCTCTACTATCGTAGGTGGGGCATAATAAGATAACCGCTACCTTTTTCATGATAGAAAAAGTTTAATATTTAGACATATCTAGCGATGTAAAAAATCAGCCTGTTTGTATTTCGTTCAATCATAACCCTGATCTCTGCGGATAACATCATTGTTTAGTAAATATATTATTCTGCTTGGTAACCTTAAATAAGTGAATAAACAGAAATAAGGAATAAACTGTGATTTTAATATACCATATACATGAGTTTTATCTGGCATAAATGTTCGAGTCGGGAACAATATGTTGTATGTGTGTTTGCAAAGGTAAACAGTGATAAAAGGTGTAACATGTACATGAATGAATAAGATAGAGATAAAAAGCAACCCATCAACACAATACAAAAACAAAAATAAACATTTACGTTGCCATAACTATGAGACAGTGCTCACTGCATATAACTCTATAGATAGCCCCAAACATCTGTCTCCCCTATCACAATTTAACTCCCTCTGGCAAAGTTGACCTTAGATGAATTTGTCAAAAGTATTAAGGTTTCTTTTGGTCATATAACTCCTTATGTTTTTATGTATTTATACATCTTTTGCTTTCAACTGTTTTGAGTTTGAGCGTTTCTGAGGAAGGTATACACAGAAAAGCGCTTCGGACGCACCAAATTAATTTATACAGCGTCAGTATCGTTTGCTCTTTCATCTATTTCTTCCCCAAAATAGATAATAAAGTTGGTAGTGAATATGATGTTGAGTAAGGTCCGAAAATCTTTGAAACGTATCCGAGTTAAAAAGAGAGTTACAGAAAAATTTCCATAAGATATTTAAGTAGTACAAGTATTTGTTTTAGAGATGTTCCTTGGCTTATGGTGAACACATACGTCTGTGGTATAAACACTAAAACTTATTTACTTTTTTTTTTAATTTTACTTAAAGAAAAATTTAGGTCGCCCTATTTATTTTCGAGAAATGGAAAGGTTTACTTTAAGATTAAAATCGTATGGATGACAGTTCTATGACGATTTAAACAAAACTAATCAAAACAATTATATAACCTTCTTAGAAGTTGCTATTTAGATGAATCGCTTTCTGAAAAACACTGACTTTGTCACAAAATAATGTAAATTACTAAACTACATTTTAAAAATATACTTAAATGAATGAGATAAAATGTTAAAAAGAAGTACGTTTCCTAAAAACAATGATAAATTAGCAGTTTTATCTTAATTTTAACGAATTCAAAAGATATGATACAGATTTATAAAATTAGCAACAAAATCATGATGGCGGCTCCAAAAGATGCGCAGTTGGATTCTGAGTTCATCTAGATTAATTCTCTTGCACCCAATGTTAAATAACCTATTAAGATCGTTCTTGTCAGTTTGTGTCATTTGCGTTGGTTGTTATCATTATAAAACGCACACAAATTCAGATCACCTTTCGAAAGTAACTTTTATTTCCTTAAAAATACAAAAATATATTATCAACAACTGTCATGTAAGTTATTCAAAATTCATACAAAAATTGCATATTTTAAAAGAAATTCATATTCCAAGAGTAATCCGAGGATGACGTATAATATACCGAAAAGCAAAATGCTGCAGGGTTATATAATTTCAAAAGTAAGAAATATGAGATACATTTTTCAGGCTACCGAACAAAGTTAAACATGCAGCCTTTGTCGAATGCACTGTTTATAAAAGCAAAACTCCAGAAAGAGGAATTTGAAACATGTTTACATGATAAAAGTTTTTATAAGTGCAGCATTTTGCCTAATCACAAAACAGCTAAGAATGCGATACAATACAAAAGCTACAGGTTTAGAGAGAGAGATATATCGAACAGTTTACATATCTGTGAAGTGTACATGCCGTATCACTAGGTCAAAGATCAAATACAGGAAAGACGCGTTAGTGAACTGTACAAGCGGGTGGATACTGGACTAGCGAACAGAGTATGGTACGTCTCCTCGGAGTTCTTGGTCACCTGTGCCTTCTATATCAATTTCTGAATAAAAAAGAGGAAAAGTGAAAGTTTTTAGTGATATTAAAAAATTACTACTATGAGATTTGAGGTTTTAGTCGTTTGTATTTCCGTGTCTATAATATTCAAGCACTGAAATTAACATAACCGATTAACATTGTGATAAGGTAGACAAGACTAAAAAGTTTAATATAATAGTGTATTTACTTTTATTATAATGAGTAAATAAAACAAGTATTGTAAATTCTGTATAAATATTGCCCGTGTCTTTCTTCTGTCAGTAACTAAAATTATAACATCAATATTTAGCGTGCAATAGTTTATAGATTTTTGACCATGCATCATTCATATCTACTGGTATTCAAAAGATGGTTGTGATTTGACAAAAGATAAACACTTACCACATTTCTGTTCGTCACTTTCATCACCACAGTCATCGACATCATCACATTGTAAATTTCGACTGATACATTTTCCATTTTTGCATGTAAATAAACCTTCCGGACATTGGGCAATTCTCTCACCTAAAAATAGTAGACCCTTTCAGTGTAGATAGTTTTAAATTAAAAAAAAATCTTACATTGTCTTCCGAAGTAAGACTATGTTTTGTTATCATTAGTTACTGTTTACATTACTTGATATGTTATAATAAATAATTATTCACCTAAAGCGCTGTATTTTTACGTGCCTTTGTTTGATTCTTTTAGACTACCGGTCATCAGCTGATTGTGTTAATTCCCTTTAATATTACTACACCAAGGCTACATTGTGGAAACAAGTTGCTTTCTTTAAAAAAAGAACTGCAATCGTGAACCTAAATGCCTGTTTGGCATGAACGATCAGATAACTGATACATAAAAAAGCATGATTTTACCTCATTTTTTAATATAAAATGTAGAAAAACTGACATGGATTCTTAATGAAGATGCTGTTCTATGTGGGGTATAATTTTCTTGTTAAAGGAATAATTGCTCTCTCTCTCATCCCTCTCTCTTCTGATAGATAACATTACAACATGCAATCTGATTAAAAGTTCAGATCCATCTTAACTCGCGTTCTCGTACATATAAGCATATGAGGATAACGAAACCATTTCTCTATATTTAAATTAGATTGTACAACATGCTAAATAAGAGGCAACCACTGTCAGTTCCATTCTAAGGTGCTATTTTGGAAATTAGAGGTAACTTCCTGGCTAAAGTCGAAATTTAAATATGAAAATAGACTTTGTTTTGAAGAAGTTTATGAAATGAATCATGATTATTTGTTTGTAGCCAGTTTGAAAATAGTTCAAAACCTTAAGCTATATTCGTATTTGTTAATTCCGAACTAAGACCGTTTTGGAAAATCAATTACACTGGTTTATATGGTTTGGTCATTGGCTATCATATTCGAGATATGCTTGATCTCAATTTATTTATACCCCAGGCAACAAACTCAAAACAAACTTTTAGAGTAGAAACAAGTTGAAACCTCAACTTTATACTTAAATCAGTTCGCTCAAACATTTCTCACTTTTTCATTTCATAACGTGTCCTTTTGTAAATTAGCCAAAATATAATGAATAAAGTAAAATATATGTGAAACTACAATACGTTGGTAATAAGTTTCATGGGAGATAACCTAAAACATTATTCTTTTGAATATAGAAGACTTTTCGAGAGAAAAATTGATTATCTCCCATGGAAACTTACTGAAAACGTATTGTAATTTCACACATATTTTACTGAATATAAAATGTTTTAATTCAAATGATGTCTGATTCTTATGAATATAGAAGACTTTTCGAAAGAAAAATTGTATGAAAGCTTAGTTTGGACATTTTTATAGCAATTCAAAATTACTACCCATCACCTTTAGCATGACAATAACAATAAGATTCCTATACAAACTGTTAGACTGATTTTTCATAATAACATTGAAGTGAAATTAAAGTCTTATAGGATTGTAAGTATGCTTTATTTTATCACCTTGCACTTTCTCGACTTGACTGTGGTTTTCTACAGCATTTTGTTCAAATTTCTGACCAGTTGAACAGTTTGGTTTTATAAAACAAATTGCAATTTGGTCAGAATTTTGAATAAGTTGCAATAGGTTGAGAGCAACACTTACAATCAAGTCACAGTAAAGAAATCAAATCAGTCATACTGGAGTTTAAGCGCGATATGTGAAAAATTGACAGTTGTATAAAAAGATATGGCGTATTAAATCTGCACAAAATCCTTTCACGCACTTAATAAAACCCGTAGCAAAGGAACAGCACTTCCATTTCTGTTTTCAAGCTCCACCTTACTGCCTATTCAAGATGGTCCCAAGCACATTTTGAGCGGCAGAATTCTTTGCTGGACGTCGATACCGCTACCTTTTTACATAGAAGACCGAGACATTTGCGGGGTAATATTAAACTAGTAAAGGACGATAACGGGCGGCAAAGAAATCTAACAAATACTGTTATAATTTGCCGTCCAATTTCATTGTAAAATTCAAAAATAATACAAGCATTTACACAATCGATGGCATATCAAAATATTTCATAGATAACATGTATGAAATGGGCAAAACGTGAATGAACTGCACAAGTTAATGTCTCTAACGAATTTGCAAGTGTGGATGTGGATGTGCATATAAGTTAAGAAAAATTAGAAGGAAAAGAACATCAATATTTACAGTTTCTTTCATCGGATCTATCAGCACAATCGAATTCGTTGTTACATTTTTTGTCTATTTGAATACAACGCTGGTCAGATTCACATGTAAACTGGAATTCGTTACAATCTGCAAGATATATATGATTTCATAGTTATTTATATAGGGTGCATTGTAGGTCTAGTTAATATATATGAGTTGACCATTCATTATAGTTGTCTATTTGACGAACATTGTTCTGATTAAATTTTTTGCTATATTTCTACTGTGATGATGAATTGATTGTTTTGTAAAGTTGATTCTTGCATTTTATTTATGGAAATGCAATGTATACTCAATCGATGATTAATCCCAAGCTTTGGACCAGGAATGGCAAAGAATACTACAACAACAAGTTCAATATGTTATCCATGTAATAAGAAGACGGTTATCATCGGTAATTCGTTGGGACGATGGTTTCTTTCGGTATTGAACTTTGTTATATTTATTGTTGCCACTGACATATTTTCGATTTCCAAAAATAAAAGAATTTTGATTATGAAATTTTCCACTTGTAAGCATTTGATTACCTTTTGTTCTATACTATTTTAAAGGTTTCCCTTAGCAAAACGTGTATCTTGCAATATCGAAAAAAAAAATACGATGGTATCTTTTATCCAAAAATACTCCTAAACCTCCTACAGGGTTTTAGTTAAACTTACATGGAATATTTTTGACATAATTCAATTGAACATCTGTCAGCTTATATTTGCACGTGTTGTATATTCTTACATCCTCTTCATTTGGACTTTGATGGATAGTTGTCTCATTGGCAATCTTATCACATCTCCTTATTTTTATATTTGTGTCTCTTGATTTCACTCACCACAATTACGTTCATCACTTTCATCGTCACAATCATTAATGCCATCACATCTAAATGCCAGAGGGAGACATCTATCTGTACTTATACACTTAAACTGATTTGGTTCACAACCTGCAAGGTTATTATCTTAACTTTATATTATTATAAACAGATATACAGTATTTCACCAGTTATGTTATATTTTCTTGATATGCTAATGCAGCAAGACACTTGCAAATATCATACCGCATATCCTTATTTACCTTGTAAATATAAAAAGATATTTTTATTCCAATTTTAACATATAACAGCTTGAATTGATAAAATGTAAAATAATACAAGCTTAAAGGGAAGGAATTCTATGATTGTCATCTTGGAGAGTTCTGGAAGTTACTTATACATAATCAGACGTATAATGTTATGTTCGATGAAACACGGTTCAAATTGGGTTGTTTCCCGTTTGCCATCATAGAATCATAACGAATGTATCATATCAGGAATTATCTTATATGATAAGATAAGATAAGATAAATTTTATTTCCAATAGAGGACCCATTATAGGCATAGTCAGTACATTGATTTTTTATATCACACAATTGCAAAAGACAATACACAAGAAAATTAAAAAAAAAAAAAAGAAATACAACTGAAAAAAAACATGAAATATAAATTGAGTTAATAATACATGTAGTCACGTAAACCAGTATGTTCAGTGTTTATTGACCATGCACCAGAAGCAGCATCACGTCCATTATTAAAAAAGGCTTTTGAGTCAAGTCCTTCCTCGTGGCTGATGCATATGAACAAATAGTATTGTTGTTCATATGCAGGAGTCACCAAGGGCAGGTGCTTAAATGACACTCAAGCATAAACACTTAAACACTTTACAACACAAGCATAAACTAATACTCAAAAAGAATTACTACAATTATAGTCCTCCTTGTGGCTAATGCACATAAATAAGATTAATATGTAGTTATCCAAATGCAGGAGCCACCAAGGGCAGGTGCTAAAAGGACATAGTAATATATTGTGTAAAATTTCTGTGTAAAGATATTTGGATTTGGATGCAGCCTCTAGCACAACTTGTCCCAATGCTCTGAGACAAAAAAGAAAATACATAAAAAACACAAACAATGGTAATGAATTATGAGTATTTTTCATTCTGTTTTATGATAGCACACATTTCATACAAGATATCCTTGTTTTCATTACTCATTAACCAAATAAACTGATCTTTAATTGTCAACATATCAATATTAGCACAATATTTCCTAGCACAAAGTATTAATTTACTTCTCTCATTATTTAATGAGGTACAATAAGAAGAAAATGTAACTCATCTTCAACTTCAGATATGTATGCAAGACACGTCGGATACTAAGTATAAGTTATGTCGCATGTGTGTTTGTATCTTTTACGACGACACAGGGCGGAAAAGTAAGCTCAAATGAATGCTCCCTTTTTTGGTTCATAAATTACCCAATAAGAACCAAAAAAAAAAACATTATTAATATCAATTTAAAGAGCATCATTGAAAAGGTTTAAGCATATTAAGGTATTTTCTTAAAGAGTCTCTTACGGGAGTGGGCATCTAAAACATATTCATAGTTATTACGTTTTCTATTTATAGGGAGGAGTGAAAATTTATTTCTGTGACTAGCTTCTGTTCATAAAGATTTGGAATATACCTTCACCCCACTCGTCCTAGTGTCACATCTATTGCCTAAAATATACTATTCCCAATAGTAAAGGATTGCACCTGTGGTTATGTTGACGAACATACCGTAATTCTAAAATTAGGTAATTCTAAAATTAGGTGTTTTACATGTAAGGACTTTAATTGTATGATCTTTCATTGTAAGGACCATGATCGAGGTTAAAAGGGGTCGAGTAATATAAAACTAACAAAGATGGCCTTAGTCAGATTTGGCACAACTCCTTTTAGGGTTCAATGCTTTGTAATAGATTTCGCCCTCGTACTATTTTTAAAGGAGAACCCCTGATGAGTATAAAGCAGACAAAATGCGCGACTGGCTTACTAAATCATAAACCTGGTATCTTTGATTAGTTCTTTATTAACCTACCCACCCCAGTCAATAAACATGTATAATGGATTGTTTACTCGATATAAATTACTTTCAGGAAACTGAGAAAATTGCTTTTAATATTACATTTGGGTTTTGTAAACATTGATTAATTAATCTCCAGTATAGATTTGAATTCCTTCATTCGTCCTTTATATTATATGTATAGACCGTTAACATTGACAAAATACTGTACAAATTATAGAAAGAAAAAAAGAAAAAAAAGAAACACTGTCAATATAATGGAAACTAAAGATTACTATAGGGACTATAATAGATCTTTCATACATGTTACAAATCTAATGCATAAACACCAAATATTTGGAACATGGTGAGCGAACCTTTTTTTTCATTACGTTTTCGCCTTTTATATTTTTTATTCAAAAACGCAAAAAAATGCTTTTACGCCCTTGCAATTCCGAGTCGTCACATTTTTGGCCTTTTTGATTTTAACGATTTTGCGGGGTTTTTTTTTTTTTTTTTTTTTTTTTCTTTTTTTTTTCGTTTCGATGGACGTTTCATAATATGTATGAATATGAACTTAAATTATATTTAAAACAATTTTGCCAAATGAAAAAGATTTAGGTCTCTGGGGTAAATGATGAAACTAATATAGTAATATTTTAACGTATTAGCCAAAACATTTAAAGTGTTAATTTCTTTAAAACTTATAGAAAAGCTTTATTTGTAGATACAAAACTCATTCTATTAATCATGAAATTATATTCTTAAAACAATTCAAAATATTTAAATAAAAACTAAAAAACAAGTTTATTGGCTTTGGTCAGGCTTGTGAGTTCTATTGGCTTTTGTTTAAAATTAAGGTTTTCTTAATTTCAAGAGTCGTTTTCATATGATTTGGTACAAATATGAAAGTAAGTCTTTGGTTCAATACTTTAAGTTATCTTAAATAAAGACAAAAATATTATTTTAAGTCGAGTTACACGAACAGGTGCGCGGAAGGTGGTTTCTGGAATATATACTCCATTAATAATGTTTGCGTGTTATTTACTTTTGGAATAAACTCTAATTTTATTTTCCAACAAAGCAAAGAGGCAAACTCGCAAAATACGAAATTGCGAAGACGAAAAGACGTAAAGACGAAACGAAAACCATTTCTGCTTTTCGCATTTTCCCTTTGAGTATAAAATACCAAAGGCATGACATGGCCGCAATCGCGAAGCCATCATTGCATTAATTGATTACCTTGGAACGATGTTGTTGCAGGTTCTGTCGTAGTTGTTGGCATGATAGTAGGAGTTGTTGTTCTAGGTATAGTGAAGGTAGTTGTGGTACTTGGTTCCGTAGTGGTAGTTGTTGTACCTGGTACAGCGGCGGTGGTAGTAGTACTTAAAGATTTTAATATTCCTGTAACTATGACATTTAGTTCTTTAACTTCATTGCAACATGATGATACATTATTTTCTAAACTCTGAAAAAGACATAAGTGTGAGTCGTTTTGATACCACACTTTTAAGTTGCTACAGTGCGTTCATAATATCTGTTTTGTAATTACATACATTTTTATCCTTTGTTTTAAAATTAGTTTCACCAACCTAACAATTTCAAAAAATATATGTAAAATGTTTTATACGCAATTATAAATGAAACTTTACCATGTATCATTTGATTCTTAAATATAACTACTAGTAGTATCGAAAACAAATACCAGTACCTTTATTCTTTCTTTTAAAATCGCAATTTCTGAAAAAGAATTAAAACATGTTTCATTTGACTTCTTGATGAGCCATTTAAATGAATTATACACAAGAATTAAACAAGGAACATACTATTTTACTTATCATAATTATGTGACTGAACGACACCATTAACTTATTGGGATGCATTTAAGTTAGCTAATTAGTATTCAAAATTGTATTTTAAGATTTAAAAACATATCGTTTAATACTAAGCAAAATAATTTGATACATATATCAATGCAAATTTGCCAATTCGACCAATTAGAAAAAAAATGCATAAAATTGCAGTGAATCAACCTTCATTAGGAACTACAATTGTTGTTGTTTCTCCTGGAATTCCTATAGGACCAGCAGGACCTGTCAATCCCGGCGGTCCCATAAAACCACGTTCACCAGGCTCTCCTTTTCTTCCTGTGTCTCCTGGAATGCCCGGATATCCTCGATCGCCAATCACCCCTGCTATCCCTTGAGGTCCTTGTAATCCATTTAACCCATCTTTTCCCGGAAAACCATTAATTCCTGATAATAAGAATAAACAAATAAGCATGTTATCCCGTTTAACTTAAACAAAATATTAATGTATGACTAAAAACCGATTAAGTGTTATTATCCTTTGAATTTACTTTTCATCACTGTATAGTTTCATGACACTATTGAAAACCGTATAACAAAATACATCACATGTCATCTATAGATATATCAGTCCCCTTACCATTCATCCCTGGATCACCTTTTTGGCCAGGTAGTCCATTAAGTCCTGGTAGTCCCTGTTCTCCTTGAGGCCCCTGGGGTCCTGTCAACCCTGGTGGACCACGTGGACCGCTTATACCTGGTTCTCCCTTTTCTCCGCTTCCTCCACTTCCTCCATTTCCATCACCCCCATTTCCAGGTTCCCCTTTCTGCCCTCTTTCTCCTTGTAGTCCTATCAAACCTATTTCTCCCTTCACTCCTGGTTTTCCACCGTCTCCTTTGTCTCCTTTGTCACCTTTATATCCTGTAAATCCAATTTGTCCTGGTCCGCCCTTTTCGCCTCTTTCACCTTTAAAACCTTGTAGCCCTCTTTCCGCTGTCATACCCTTTTCCCCTTTCTCCCCTTTTTGACCTGTTCCACCTCCTCCGCCATTATTCGGTATGATGACCTTGAAAAGAAGATATACTGTAACATTAAGTGAAGCAGCAACGTTTCCAATACAAGATAATGTTATGAAAAATGAACATTTATAATAGAGGTTTTACTATTGTATTCAAATTAATTTAAGCAGTTTAAAATATAATAATAAGAAGATGTGTAGCCAATGAGATAACTCTTCACCAGAGACCAAAATGATATAGAAGTTAACAAATCCAGGTACGCCTTCAACAATGGGCAAACTCCATACCACAAAGTAAGCTATAAAACACTATATTGTATGGAAATTACTAAATTGTCCCTAAATTGAATAAAAAAAAAATTCCATGTGCTGAATATTATAGCAGTTTTCAAATTAAATGAAACATAACAAATAGATAAAAATATTTATATGAAGAACAAGCAAATTTTGTTCCTTATGATTCTCAACACAACATAAACAAATAGGTATATAGAAAGTGTGATTCTCAGCACAACAAACACAAATACATACATAGAAAGTGTGATTTTCAACACAACATACACAAACAAATGCATAGAAAATTTGATTCTCACCACAACATACACAAATAAATACATAGAAAGAACAAATATACCTCGCTACATCTTGTTGTATGCGCGTTCTATTATCAAAAGAGATTAATGGAAGGAAATTATTTGTTACAGTAAATCAAACAGTAAAAGAAAAAGTCATCATATTATAGGTTTGAGTTTAGTGAATTTACTCTTATTCTTTTTTTATATATCTTTTATGCACTGGAAATTATTTCATTGAGGGTAGTAAAGGCTATTTTCCAGTAACAAATATAAATAAGAAGATGTGGTATGAGTGCCAATGAGACAACTATCCATCCAAGTCACAATGTGTAAAAAGTAAACAATTATAGGTCAAAGTACGGCCTTCAACACGGAGCCTTGGCTCACACCGAACAGCAAGCTATTAAGGGCCCAAAAAAAGACTAGTGTAAAACAATTCAAACAGAAAAACAAGTTTGCTTGTATTTAGTTTGCGTTAAAAAGTTATTGTTCGGCGTGTTTGGTACAAACATAGTGTGAACATCCAACATTCAGCCCAAAAATTGTTTCCTGTTTTTGTACAATTATGTTCTTCTGTACCTTGATATAACATCTTATATCAAATCAAATGTTGTACATTGAATTAGTATAACAGGTATTTCATCAAAAGACTCCGGTTGTATCCTAGTTACCGGAAATTTGGTTGCTGTACTGTACTTGCATACTTCACAATTTTAACAAAAATGTTACTTTCACATTATCTACGACAACATTATGGGCAAAGATGACAGGATTTTATTGATCACTGTTTGCCTAGAATATGACCAGCTATACTACAGAACTAACGGACAAAACGAGGCAGAAATACAACAACTTGATTCAACGTTGCAATATTAGACCATTAATTGTTACAACTTACCGGTCGATTTGTTTCGAGTGTTTTAACTCTTGTATCTAATTCTCTGTAACTTTGGCAGGTAAAACATTCTAAAATTCAAACGCAGTTATTCAAGTTTAGTAAGTTATCAACATAAATATAGAGAAATAACAAATATTCTTGCAGGCTATAAAGCATTTCATTATATCCATGAATTTAAATTCATAAATAAATTCAAATTTGTGTTTTTGTCTATAATAGGAAGTGGTCCAATTAAAATAATTTTCAAAAAATGTATTTCTCTCTCAAATTCACTGTGTTTAGTTTTTATCATTTGAATATGTGATATTTTTAACTTCCTCATCATTTGTTGTGCGACCATTACTTATTCGATGGGAGTTCTTATCTCTTTCAAAAAATTCATTTGAGCATAGAATTATAACCGTTATAAGCTATCTCTTATATTTGCAAAATCTACAATAGTTAAACAAATAAAGTACTTACGTATCGAACAAGTATCTCCTTCAAAACCAGGAATGCATATTAATTTTCTAACTGGAAAATATCTTCTTATAAATTTATTTGAATATCTATTGATAAAAAATATGTTCAATTAGATAAACGTTCAATATGATTTGTTGCATCAAGTATTCAAATTGACTCGCCAAATCTGTCCACGTTATATTTTTTTACACAAGAATATTTGAACAAAACCGCTATCGCTTCATAGAAAAAAATATTCACTTCAAATTGAGGTTTTACCGACGTCAGCCCTATGCGTACTGTTATAAGATATGAATATGCTGACACTCTTGACTTATAAGAATGCTTTAACCCAATGCACATTTAAAGATAAAGTGCATATAGATTGGAAAGTCGACTGCAAATTTCGAGATTGGTTCGTAGATGCCTTCTCTTAGGATTTAAATAAATGAAAGAAAATACATTACCTACTCTGCTATTTCCTAATGTTGCATTGCTGTGGGTTTTTTTTCTCAAGAAAAACTGTAATTGGCCGTGATTTACAAGAACTTATCGCAGTGATTTATATTCATAATCTTTTGTAATGTTGTCGTTTCGTTTTTTTCACATTTATAAATTATGTTTACCGCAGATACGCTTCAATTGAACAGAGAGAACAATTCAAAATGTATCAAAACATTTAAGAGAAGTTACTCGAGATTTACCAATATCATTTCAAGACATGTTAATGTTCTGTTTTCTGAACAAATAAACTTCGCTGAACTTAGAAACATGCTCAATGAGTATACCCTGCAGAACTTAAAGACATGCTAATGAGTATATTCCTTTGAACTTAGAGACATGCTCTATACAAATCTTGCATGCAGAAGTAAAGGAAAAAGACAGATTTAGTTTAGAAATATGATAATTATCATCTCAAAAGATTTTAAATGTAAGTCAAGGACTTTTTTAGTTACTGGAGTTTTACGACAAAACTATTGTTTTTTTTTTGTGTGCTATAGCTTCTATAAAAATCATGAACGATCAAATAATACTATCTGGTAGTTTTAATTATATAATCAACTAGAACACCTGCTGAAAACGGTATTATGTATGCTACAAGAGTACTTTTCCCATGCAAACTTTTAAAGATAGAATCCAAACAGATATGCAATCAAAATCAAATAATTAGTATACACATAGCTGGAAAAATAACCAAATAACCGCTGTTTTAAAAACTTTTTCTCTTTAAACAATAAGAAAATGGGCTAGCTTAAGATATTTCATGTCAAATTATTTATGTCATATGTGGATAATTGAATAGGATCCGAGTGTTTGTACAAACTGTGCGCGTTCTAGAAATGAGTGACATTTTGGCTTTTTTAAAATGAACTGCATGATGAATATAAATAAAAAAATATCTAAGATGTTCCATAATTTATCTGCAGCGGTGATTTCGGGAATAGTGTCCCAACCTCAACATCCCCAACCACCTTATGTGTATACCATCCACGTGTTTTTAATTACAAATCTTCAAACAGTTTCTAGGAAGCTTGAGCAGCTGAGAGGTTTATTCATAATGTTGCATACTTACGTATCCCAACACCATTTTGGTATCATTTCTATATTACTTATAAAATGTGAAGTGCTGAAAATTAAATTGGATTTTCAAACTTACTGTATTGTCATTTCCCCCTTTTGCAGATGCATTGCACTTACATCATTTTTTTGTACAATAGTTTTCAAGTTTGGAAAAATAGATATGACCAATATGTCCCCATTTATTTCTCTCAAGGGCTGTTTTCAAATAGAATTCTAATCTTACTAGAATATATAATCGTAAACTTGTGTACTTTGTGGTTCTAACAACATAAAGTCGTATTTTTGATCATGCTACTAAATTGAAAGTGTTGATGGCTCTAAAGTAATAGTTTTAAAGATTTTATCAACATTTCAGCATTTATCTAAAAGTCAATATGAAAGACGTTGAAAATCAAGATCAAAATGCTATCGGAGGTAAAGCTGAGTATTACATTCTATTTGCAAACTATTTTATAGTTTCCTTGGAAACAAAATTTTACAAAAAACTACATCAAAATTGCAATAATATATCAAAACAGCAATGTAAAACTTAGTAACATTTCGTGTTTATGGATGTTGATTTTAATTAAACGTTTATCATTTAATCTTTAATATTCAAATTCTAATAATCATAAACACTATTCTTCCAAATAATAAAAAAGCAAACAAAGGAAAGGACATCTTGTAGTAAACCAAGCTCACGACATTCTTGAACTGTTATACTTTTTTCAATGTCTCCTTTCTATTTTGATTGATGGCTGCCTTCATAAATACATATAGTTATCTTAAAATGAAATGTTAGATCTGTGGGTTAGTACTCTTACTTTACGTTTTCATTTGTTCAGAAATATTTTTAGATGTTATCTAGAATATCAGTTTTTCGATAAGGTTTTTATTTATTATCTGTGGTATGTAAAATTACATAATCAGCGTGTAGCTGCATATTTTCTTTATTAATTGTATCGTACTATTTGTTGTTTAATCCCAATTTTTTCGTATTTTCTTTGTCTTGATATTTGGCGTAATCTTATTGTGTGCATTATTCGTGTCTTTCTTCCAATTTTTTTCTGAATAATTTGCTTTTAGATCCCCCTTTACAAATGACTTTTCGATCAAACTTGCGACTGTTTTTACCAAAAGATCTTACGATTAAAATTGAACGTGAGTTATTCGGAAATGCCCATGTCGATTTTTTTATGTGAAAAAAGCGGTATTATATAGTTTCATTATTTTCATCCTAGGAATTTGAAATATGGTACATTCGGTTCATCCCGAGACTTTCTTTTAGAAAAATAGTTTAGGTTGCTGTTACAGTTAGCATCCCAGTAACACCAGAGAAGCTAGACATAATTAAAAATTGGAAAAATAAACATGTGATCCTCGATTGAATACTCAGATAACATAGATTAAAAGAGGAGGAAGAAAACACCAAGGGGACGTTAAAAAAACAAGGAAAAACTGACAATGCCATGGCAAAAGACAAAAACAAAACGACGTGAAGACGAAAAAGCACACAAAACATTACACAGAAAACAAAAGACTGAGCAACATGAACTCTATCAAAACGGGAGCTGAACTCGTCGTGTTGCTCATGCAAGCACTAATACTGTGCGACGTATCATTCGGTGATGTAACAACCGATAAAATAGGTCGGGATAGTGTTAACATCAATTTGAACATATATATGTGGTCATATGTGACATATGTTTATATCATTATATTGATAATCTAGCACGGCTAACATGTTCTTCGACACGTGCAAGAGTAAACATCAATGGGGATTTTTAAACGCATGTTTCCAACAAAAAACACCACATTTACACATTTATGTCCGTCGATATCAATCTAAAGTTAGATTTTTTATCAAGAAGATCCTGTTTTAATACAGAAACATATCAAAAACATAACTTGCTATCATATACTAAGCAAAGAAATGCCAGGATTTGATTACCCTTCCGGAGCACCTGAGATCATCCCCAGTTTTTGGTGGGGTTCTTGTTGCTCAGTCATTAGTTTTCAATGTTGTGTTTTGTGTTCTGTTGCTTGTCTGTTGGTCTTTTTCTTTTTTTGCCATGGCGTTGTCAGTTTATTTTCGACTTATGAGTTTGAATGTCTCTTTGGTATCTTTCGCCTCTCTTATTCTAGCTCTGCATATGTAATAAATTAAGACGACAGACGTTTATCGATGATAAAATCTCGTACATCGTTTAAGAAGAGATAAACCAAGGTAACAGACAAATACTGATTGAATCGTATGTACTCCAAAATGTGCAAAACCGATTTCATCAACAGGGTACACGTCGCATGCTATTCATACATCACCCGCCATGCGAATCCACACTCAGTATAAAACCAATGACGAAAAGATTCTTCTGTGCAACATTGTAAATAAACTTTTTAAATTGCTGTTCGAACGTACCCAGGATGATAACCACATATAGTCTTAACGTTACATGGTCGGATTGATAGGGAATTATCAGCAGGAGTACGTTTGTATATCGAAAGGAGAAGATGGTGAACGTATACATGCTGAAAACCCTATATCAGCAGCGTCCTTAAGTCACGTGGTTGGTCTGATATGGGGTTATCAGTCGGGTGCGTTCATTTGTCAGAAGTATATGATATGGATACATGTTAATCATATTAAGAAGCCTCTACATGGAATTTCCTCATACTAACTGACTATCAATTTAGTGATTTACAAGTACCGACACGTGAAGAGCTAAATGACCAAATGGAAATTAAAAATAGCAGACAAATCCATCTAAGGTCATCTTTGACTGAGGATGTTGGAACCTTAGTTGCATATGCATATCTTGAAAGGAACATGTCATGAAATTAAGGCAATTTCTGCACTTGATCCACATTTGTATTATTGTATTAGATTTTGGATATTCAAATATTTTTACCTCGAACATCACTGAAGAGACATTAATTGTCGAAATGTGGATCTGCTGCATTAAACTTGGTACCATTTATGTTATCACTACCACTGGGACGATACCTCTGTTGGTTGACTGTTAGTTCCAGAGGGTTTCACCAGCCCAGTAGCCAGAACTTCGATACTGGCATGAATATATTGTTTGTTTAAACTTTACTGTTCAAAAAATTTGGAAATTATTTTATTAATTTAGGAATATATCTCCCTCAATTCAAAGCTCTGATTCCTTTTCCGGATTAGGCTATACTTTATATCCTTTTTTGTTTAATCCGCTCATCTGCATTTCTATTAGATTTTGGATATTCAAATATTTTGACCTCGAGCATCACTGAACAGACATTAATTATCGAAATGCGCAGCTGGTGCATTAAAATTGGTACCGTTTATGTTATTGTCCATCTCTTTATTTGGTTTAAAATTGACTGTTTTTAAAATATCACCTATCAATTTGAGTACATGTTTTGAAAGACCATGACTAAAATATAACATATAAATGAATATAGAGATACATTTAAATTAGTGTCATAAATCCACAAGTAGCGTAAGTGGAAAAGCATACTTGAATATATCATCTTAAATAATATTATTTAAGTACATCTATCAAGTTCTTCCTGCAACAACTGAAAGGCCAATTGCCTAATAATTAGGATGTGGGTTTAATAGTAAGGCTATATAAGATTTTTAAATAAAAAGAGTAGTTATGAGCATTGGATTGTTGAATTATCTTTAATGAAATCCTCCCGTCTCTTTACATATTTGTCATAGCTATATATAAATTATGTTTTTATAGAAGTTCCTGAGAAAGGTAATGTGATGCATGTGTTTTGAACGTCACACTATGCATTAAAACGACACCCATCTAAAATAATAGTGAAATCAAAAACCGACTGCATGTGCATGTATAAATACATTTTTTAATATTAAAAAAATATTACTATTATTATTTTTTATCGATTTTTTTTTATTTCGCCCTTTCCTTAAATAACTTGCTAAACTTGAAAACAGTAAAATTGTTTAAAGGATTACAAAATAGTATTGAATAAAGTTAACAAAACAGCGACTATAATTTAGATATGTTTATTAGACTGGTGTCTGGTTAAAACACAGATGTATCGGATTTCTTCAGATCAGGAGGAGCAGATAATTTAGTCATGCTCACTGACAGCCTTCCAGATACCTGCACGTTTCAGATTAAAGTTCATACTCATTTATCTTACATTCTTTGTTTAAAACAATTTCTTTTTTTTTTCTAAAAAAAAAATGTGCAATTAATGTTATATCTTCAATAGTATATTCGTTTCTTGCCTTGTCTCGTAAAATGTTCAAATCTTCATTCATTTATTAACTTACAATCTCATTTGTTATAAATGAAATATTGCTTTTCTTTGATTTATTGATATAATTTTAGTAAAATTCTCTTTTTTTACAAATACAATTAGTCTTTATTTGAGCAACCATACTTTTATTTGACAAATGATACACATTTGCGATCTGTTAGTGATAGAAATGAACGTATTCAACTTTATCAAAAACAAACTGCGTAACATTATCAATTTTATTTATATAATTACTTCTATTCTTATCTCTATCTTAATATAGATCATAATTTCTCTGCATCAGTTCCAAATCATGTATCTTAAATAGATATTCAAATATTACAAAATAAAAAAAAACATATGTGTGCATCAAAAGTGCTTGAAGTGATTCTATGCATTATAAACTGTGAGTTTGTTTAACATTTTATTTTAATAAATAACTTACCTATGTCTTGGCCAATTATTTCCCTTTAGTAATGATAGCGAGCTAAATAATACTGAAATTAATAATAAATTCATTTTATCGTTAATTTCCTCCAAATTGGTTAATTAATTGTTTGAAATCAATCCTAATAAGATTTTTATAAAACACACATCTTCCCTATTTAATTTACTTGGACCATCTGTAACGGAAACTCTAATTACACAGCTTTTATAAAATCAAAGCTCTTAAAATGCTAACCGTGTTATATTTAAATCTAGGTAACCAGACTAACGTTGATTAGTATAAGTAATAGTTACTGCATTCAAAAATGTTATCTACTTGTATTTGAGAAATAAAACATGATCGATTTACTTCATTTGATAAGGGCTGTATGCAATGTCCGTATTTCTTGAACAAAATTAAAAGAAAAAAAAACCACCTAAATGATTAGATATGAAATAATAGTTATAGATCAGATAGAGGAGAGAATCACTTGGTATAGATTTTTGATAAGAAAATTAAAATCGTTGGCACCAAATTGGATAAATGAAAAGGTGTAGTACACATTGCGCAGGCAGTGCTTACCACCACAGCTGGTTGTGTTATTTTTATTTGGGAAACATAAATAGGAAGCTTCTTTGTAAATATCAAATTGCGTGAACTTTGAAATTTTAGATTTTTTTTAGAATGATAAAAGCATGTTATTTTTAATTCATTTATATGTTTTGGATTTTAGTATGACGTCCATTTTCACTTAACTAGTACACATTTTTATTTAGTGGCCAGCTGAAGCCCGCCTCCGGGTGCGGGATTTTCTCGCTGTGTTGAAGACCCATTGGTGGCCTTCGGCTGTTTTTTGCTCTTTGGTCGGATTGTTGTCTCTTTGACACATTCTCCATTTCCATTCTCAATTTTATTATGAATCTGTTTTAAATTTATATAACGTTCAAGATTGATTTTAGTAATATCAGAATTGATTAGTAAGATTCATTTTGCATCATAGTGATGAAGGATATCTGTTATCCGTTTCGTTTTTTTCTTTTTTTATAACGATCAATCGCCCTCGTATGAAATTCGTTGATTAACATCTAGACGTTTTATATATATTTTCAATTTAGACTTGTTTATATAACCATATATATAGCCCTAGCCCTTATTTCACATTTGTATACCCCAGTTACCCATTTCGTGAGTATTTAATTTTTGTCTGTCTGCAGATATATTTTCTATATAATTGTGAACCTTTTGTAGTAAATCAGTTTGTCTAAGTTGTAATGAAATTGGTTGTCTTGTCTTTCTATTATTTCAGTATAATATAAACATTCAAGTTCGAAAATATGAATTAAACAAAATTTCAACAACCGTGATTATGTCAAATTCATTCACCATACCTTTTGCAAAGGTAAGTTTCTATCTTAGCCTGCATATATTTATATCATATATTACTTTGAAGTTATCAATGGTTTTTCGTTGAGCCTTTAATTTAGTACAGACCTAAACAGTTAACTTGGGTATTAAAACATGGATATCAATATACTTCTCTCATCCGTCAATAAAACCTACGCGAAAAATGCCGACCGCTATGCTGTTCGGGATGTATAAATACTAAGTCATGTCCTTCGAATATGGGAACATTAAATCCGATTCCTCCAGTAGGGAAGATTCAAATCATTTTGCACTATAAATAACCATTGCACCAACTCCTTTAATAATCCATTGGTGATCTGTTTCAAAGTTTAATGTCTGCCCCTACCCAACATACCATGAGTTTCAAGTGATAGTCAGAAATTGTTACCCTACCATGCTCGTACTATTTGCAGAGCCTATCCCTACTATGGACGAACTATTTCCCTCTTGACTCTAAGCAAAGAAGGATCAATGTTCAAAGATGGAAATATTATTGCCGTTTAACTAATCGATCAATTCTTAATTTCAAAAATGTAATTGTACGGGCATGTTATGGAACAATATTTTTATAGGCATGTATAAAACCAGTGCAATAAAAATATTGATGACAAGACTGTTTGTAGGTGACTTTCCTTGAGCTGTTTAAGTGCTTATTAACTGTGGCAGATCTCGATTTAAATGCATTGGCTGAATGGCCAAAATCAATGGTTAATGACATTCAATCACAATTCAGTCAATACCGCTACCAGTGGACGTCTTCGAGGGTATCAATAGCCCAATCGTCTGCAGTTTTGTTGAATTATTCGAAACACTAAAAATTTTCTACTCCTAGGTATGTATTGCCTTAGTCGTATTTGGTACAACTTTACGGTATTTAAAGCGCTAAAGCGTTGTTTTAGATTTGGCTTACTAACCAATTGTGTGCCACTAATAAGTCTTTTGTAGGCGAAACGTGTGTCTGGCTCACAAAAGTATAAGCCTGGTATCTTTGATGAGGTTTGCGTTGAATTGAAGAGATGCTTTAGTTTTCTGTAAAAGAGCGGCATAGGATACCAAAGGGATATTCAAGCTCATAAGTCGAAAACAAACTGAAAAAGCCATGGAAAAAAAACGAAAAACGACCAAAAATACAAAAGTCTAAAAACACAACATAGTAACCTAAAGTCTGTGCAACAGGTTATTAGTTTAGTAATAAAATAAAAATGTCGAATTATTCGAAAAAGTGAGTGTTTGTACTACCAGGTAGAGATAGCTTAAGTCGTATTTGGCACAACTTTTCAGAACATTTGGATATAAATGCTCTTCAACTTCGTATTAGATTAAGACTTATTTAGACTTTAACGCCACTGATAAGTCTTACATAGATGAAACGCGCTTCTGCCGTGCTAAATTATAAGCCTGGTATCTTTGATGAGTTTTTACATTCAATGGAAACGATATACTAGTTTCTGAAACGTTGAGGTGTAACGTTTAAAATGATGCCATATGGAATATATAGAGAGAAAATATCATAAAAAGTGTATTTAGACATTTTAATATTCTAAATAAATTTAAAAAAAATATTATTCAAGTTCAAATTTGAAGACTGTTTTTTTTAGTTTACAACAGATAAATATTCGAATATGACGGCGATATCTGGAGTAACTGTGTAGTTAATGAGAAGAAACTAGAATTGCAACTAGAACCTTTTAGGTTTGTATCTGGTCCGATTGTTTTCATTAATATCAATGTCAACTACAATGAAAATAAGTGAAACTGCGAGCTACTGCTCACTGATGCTACCCCCCGCCGCAACTGGATAATTTTAATAGTGTAAACATATGTAAGTGTTCGGTAAACAGGAAGTTGAGTGATGAATCTGAAAAAACGCATCACACGATATAGCTGACTTATATCAACCCTGAAACCAAATTTCAGAAAAACTTATAATGTAGTTCCTGAGAAAGATGCGACGAAAAATATTCATGAAACGGATGGACGGATGGACGGACGGACAGACAGAGGTAAAACAGTATACCCCCACTTTTTTTGGGGGTATAAAAATCACGGAAACTCTACAAGAACACAGTGGAAGACGAAAATATCAGTTGTATAATAAACTCATCACAGATACATACCAAAGGTCTACCATTTAAACTAAGAATAAAAATTTAATACCACCATAAATACAAGCAACTACTGTTTATTCCCCTTGAAATAGTTATGCTTGTAGAATATCCTTTTGCAGACTGTCTTCGATCAAGAGCCCATATTTTGAGTCTGGATTCGCATAACGGATGATACAAACATACCTTTAGATGATTGCCCTGTCGATACACACGATTCGACTCCGTTTGGAGTACATTCGATTCCCTGAGTTGTTCTGTCCTGGATTATATTTTGATTTACAACTGTATGAAATGCTTGTTTAAATCAAGTTAATACCGACGATTTGAATACTGGACGGACGATATCCTTAGAGACCAATAGTCCAGCAGCAGCATTTCCCACCAAGGTATAGTAAAAACATATATTTTCCTTGCGCACAACATGTATTCTTGGACTAATCTTCATCAGGTAAGTTTGAGACCAAATATTAACGAGTAAGCGAAAAAAAGATCTGCATTTTGATTAAACAATGCAAACATTGATAAAAACAGAAACAATGTTTAGAAATGTGAATTGATACACCAAATAAGAAACAAAGACGTCTTTGGTTTAGTTTGATTGATTGACAAATAAGTAAAACAGAAATTTGGCACACAACTATCGCTACGTATATATTGTCTCATTGTTTTTTCCTTTTCTCAAATTATGTTGTTTTACTCTGGTTTAGCTCGTGGGATATAATTTGCCTGCAATTGAACATATTGTAATATATATTGCATATTAGAAGATGCCACTTGCCGTTTTTGATAAGTTTTTTGCAAATAAAATATATTTAAACTAATCAAGATTTAAAAAATGGCTTAAACACTAATCATATCTCACATTTACAGAAACCGTTAATTCCTAAATTTACTATTCAAAAAGTGTGAAAATCTGCTTAAAGATTGTCTACCATACGTTTTTTTCCCCCTTTTTTTCAAGAAAAAGTGAATGTAGAAAATTTGTTTGTGCTTTGGTTTAATTTGACGTATAATTTCCTCGAAAACAATTTACTTTTTTCACAAAGAAAAGCTGGAATTTTGTTCGGACACCAGTATTCATGCCATTTATCTTTGTTAAATAAAGATTGAACAGTTCTGTAACTTCTCCAAAATTATTTCAAACTTTTTTTCATATTCAATTGTCATCCTCGTCTCGCAGTTTCGTCTTGAAAAAAAGGATATGTAAAGATTTCTGGAAAGGTACATAAGCAAAATTGTCACATTTTGCAAGGTTCAAAATTCAAAGATCAAATAGAGATGACTTTTATGGCTTATATTTACTATTCACGTACAACGTTACCTGTTCTCAAGAGTATTATAAATGTTTATACTCACAACGAATTCTATGACGAGTGTCAGCATCTTTAATTATGTTTAACACTTCAAAGCATTAGTTATGTTTATGAAATTTAGTGGAATGAAATTTTGAATTCTTTGACAAATAGTATCAACTAATTACTGTACTTACTATACCAAACCATTCATAAATCATTCAAGAGACTTTAAAATCTTCATATTAAGTATTCTCGGTTACAACTGCTATTAATATGACAAATATATCTAATTTTGTTTTTAATCTTCGTTTGAAATAAAACTTTTGTAATTCTTTAAGTTATTGTTTGTGGGTCAATGAAGCGAGTTGAGATGTCGTAACGACTGAAACAGGATATATGATCAGACAGCAGACTGATTTTAATCTGATCCGTCTTCCATCATTAACTCGGTTGTGTCCATGACATGGAGATACCGGATATGCAATGATGGGCAGATAACTCGGATGTCATAAATTTTAACTGACATACAAATGTGTTGTAGTTTATTAAAATAAGTGAGACATATCATTCAGTATTATCACTTAATCTGTTATAACAGCTAACAAGGTTTGTTCACCTTAAATGATAAAGACGTATATTTAAACTCCTAAATTAGCTTATCATGCACCTTTGGAGTAAACTGACTCTGCATGAAATTAGTTTTGATTGATTCTTGTTTGCTTGTCTATTCAAAATGTTAAAGTCTTTGACAAGGAGTTGTGAGCACTTTAAAATCAGTAGAAATGGAAGATTCGTTAAATACTAGTAATCCTTTCAGTAAAAGGTGTATATGTTAGACTTTAAAATTGATCTTTCAGTAACCATGTTTCTGATTTTCAATCAAAACGATTGGCAACGTATCCTTTATATCACCTTTTGTACATTAATATTTATACAATTTGTTGCAGATTATCTACGAGAAGAGGGAATCTTGTCTTAGATCTTGCATTCTCTTCATAAATAGACTAAAAGACATTTGGTCTAGAGCTTTAAAGCCGTTTGCGACTGTAATTGCATGATGCAATATATAATACTATAATCGCTTTTTATTTCTTTAAACATGTACGATGTCAGTAAAGTCATAGTTGTTTGGAGCGTCACTACGACAATGTATGAATTTTCAGATTTATAATCTTCTTTGTTTTCTTGGACTGTGGTATTTATTTGTTATATAGTTTTCTCTAAAAAGGGTATAAATATCATAAGTACTGTCCAGAAAAATATAGACATCGTCATCATAGGAATGAATATTCAAACTTTTATCAATGCTACATTCACTACTTTTCAGACAGCTAAGCACCAAAGTCAAGGTATTGCACACATGCTGTCTATTTCTGTCTACTAAATCACGTGTTACATGTCTATTCCAGGTAGAATGTCATCAGCTTTGTCATTGTAGCCTGAATCGTTTGAAGTACTGATGTTACTAATCTTCCTTGACTTGTCTAAATCTGAAAAATAAAGCAATCAATTAACTAGAATTCATATTTATTCATTGGGACAAAGAGACATTATTTTTAATATCAACCTTAGAATAAAAAAATCATGCTATCTTTAAAGCAGAAGTTTCCGTTTTGCTCCTGGAACAAGTAGTAAAGCTGAAATGATGAATATTTGAGATTTTTTTCCTCGACGCAACTTCATTATGATGAAGAAGATGTTTGTCCCGTTCACCCTTCCGGAGCACATGATATCGATTTGTGTTGTTCAGTCTTTAGTATTCAATGCAGTGTATTGTAGTCTGTTGTTAGTCGTTTCGTTAATTTCGTCTTTTGCATGGTGTTGTCGGTTTTTTTCAGCGTTTGAATTTGTATTGTCCTGTTTAATGTTGTGGGTTTAATCTGTCTTTTTGTAAGGAACAGGAAAAGAAATGATTGTTTGGTATGTAAATATGATAGACAAATTGCTCATTCTTCTTTGGTATGTTAAAATTCATATTTATTATGCTTAATCTAATCGTTTTTTCTTCTTCATCTAAATATTTGACATATAATTCTTATCCTTCGCCTGATAAGTTGTAGAACAGATATACCTTGATTCAAATTGAAATTGTACATTAAATATGGATGATCTCAAAATGCACTGACTCTCATTTTTCCTTACATATTTCCTATGAATTATATCATATCTTTTCAACAAAAGTTTTATCTGAGATAATTCTTTACTCGTAAAGTATTTAAGCTATATTTCATCTGTTTCTGATTTAGGAATAATCCTGCTTTAAAATGTCTAGCATATACACATATTGGAAGATTTTTCAGTCAACAGTACGTACGATCCTTATTATATATTATTCCAGATTACAAAATATGTTATGCCCTCTTTACATCCCAATGTCACACAACTTTGATACAAATATTTTGTTTTATCCTAATCAGATATATTATGTAGTAAATACATAACCATGCATGTAAATTAAGTACACATACTGTAAGATCAAAATATGAAAAGACTTATGAACCGAAAGATAACAAACAACACTTAAAATTGAGAGATGGCACACAATGTTGTCTTAGAAAAAGAGATAACGAGACAACAGCAAAGGTACCTTCGAGTCATCCAGCTGCAAAAACATACATAATATGTTGTGTTGAAAAAACAAGCGCTAATTGTTAGATTAATTGCTTTTATTGTTGTAAAAAAAGATTTAACGAATATAAAGCTTGATTTTCCATCCAATTGTTCAGTCATTTACTGTAACTATGTAGCATGAACTGGTCATGCTCTAATTTATATCTTTTCTTTTCTGAATTTGTTGTTGCTTCACAATAATGTATAATTTGTATATGAATTCTTTGTCCGTTTACCATGTAACATTGTGTGAAATTTATGAATACCTGGAATGTCAGCATCTGACACATCTGGCCTTGAACTGTCGATAGGTGTCAATCTACCTTGTGGAATTACTGGGTTGACAAATGATTCATGAATTTTGTTGTAATCTTTGGTATGTCCAACCAACCACCATGTCTTCATGTCTCCTTTACCCTACAATACAGTATGTGACATTGACAACAAGAACAATTAACTTATATTTTATTCAAGACATAGGCAGAAGTTATAACAACCGAGTGGAAAAAATGTAATAATACACAAATATGTGTTAATCTCACAAAACATGTTTAACCCCGCCGCATTTTTGCGCCTGTCCAAAGTAGGGAGCCTCTGGCCATTGTAAGTCTTGTAAGTCTTGAATGTTTTTTAATTTTTAGTTCATTTATTTGTTTCGGAGTTAAGTGTGACGTCCATTTTCACTGAACTAGTACACATTTTTTGTTTAGGGGCCCGCTGAAGCCCGCCTCCGGGTGCGGGATTTTCTCGCTGTGTTGAAGACCCATTGGTGGCCTTGGGCTGTTTTCTGCTCTTTGATCGGGTTGTTGTCTCTTTGACAAATTCCCCATTTCCATTCTCAATTTTATGTTCCATCATATGCAAAGTTTCGCTTTTAATTTGAAGATTTGTTCATTTATCATTCAAATCAAAGAATTACTTGTCTTAATTTTATGCATAGTCGCTTTGGAAAGTCTAAACATTTCAAAATAAAAATATACCGGATATTGCTTGGTTGGTATGCTGCATCATATGACAATACCCAAAATATTATTCGTTTCTATAGTACCTTAACTGGAATTGTTCCTCTTGATTCACAGTCAAATCCACCCATTTGTTTCAGTTCTTCATATGTAAAATTACTCATATGAATTCGATAAGCTAAAACGGAAAATAAACATCATTGAAAATATGAAAATGAGCAAGAGAATCTGATTTCCCCTAACAACACCATGATAAAGTTTCTGCATAAGTTTTTAAAAGTTTTTGTAATTGTTCTCTTGTGCATACACTCTCAATAACAGCCTCCTTGGTTAAATACTCATTAATATAACTTAATATGTCAAATAACAATATACATTTGCCATGCCTTTGGAGAAATAACTAAATATTGTTGATAAAATCATGTTTAAAAAATAAAAAAAGTTAACTACACTCGGGATATTTAGAATCGTTACTTAAAATGATTTACATCCTTTACATATTTCTGAATAAACGAAAACAATTGAAAGTCAAATCGAACTTATTTTAAAAATTAAATGGCAAAATATTCTGCACCTCCATGATACTCTATTATCTCCACTGTTAGGAATCTTTTGATTTTTTAAAACTCTTTATTATATTTACTTAATCAAACTACAGTTGCAGACAGAACGTTTAGAAAATTTAGGCTGAATAATTATAAAGTGGAAACAACCTAGTTTTTGAGCCTACCTTCTCCGTTTGACTCCATTCTGGATGCTGTATTTACAGTATCTCCAAATAAACAATATCGCGGCATTTTCAAACCAACAACTCCAGCACAAGCAGGACCTTTAAATAAACATTTAAACACAAAGTCAAACATTCTGAAACTGCGTAGATTTTCTTGTAACTGTTTTGGCTTTCAAAAGCCTTCAGATCTAAACGTTAGGAAACCTGGTCATGTAGAAATATAAGGAATAAGTTTATAAAGCTAAAAAAGTTATAACGAATAAACACTGTTGGGAGACTAAGATAAAACCTTAGTGTTAAGTAAAATTTAGAAAAAAAAGTAAACTAAGAAATCATAAAATGATTGTATGTGATAAATATAGCTAAATTTACGAAAAGGGCAAATATTTAATTCACTGATGAATTAAAACCTCAAAATTGAATATATCGAAAGAATGAAAACAGAAAATGACATATTCTATCAAAAGAAATTATCAGAAAACAGCGACAACACTAAAACCATTTTCTGATTCTAAAACTTTATTATACATTTTTACATTGTCTTCCCGAAACCATTAAGATGAGTACTAACCTGAATGAAGTCCTACTCTTATCTTCAGTGGTTCTGATGGTCGATGTGGTATGACAAACACTTTACATGCGGCTACTATTTCTAACGACATATTAGCAACTTCTCGGGCATGCACACATGTCCGTGTAGGTATTCCGGAAACAACCATATCTGAAAGATATAATTTCCTTTATGTTAATGTGTATTTTAAGGCTTGCCTTTGAAAATTATTAAGTCTGAATGTTTTTCATAAATCTAATAGAGATAGAATATTAATCATACTTCTAGAATTAGTTATCGATGCTGGGTTCATGCTTATTTAAGATTGACGTTGGGTGATGTTTAAAAATCTTTTTTTAAAGATTTTAGATATTCGTCAGAATGTGAATTATTGATTGTGTCGAATTCCTTTTCGTGACATTTTCACCGAGTCTTGATTCACATGGTGGGTGCTGCATGAATCGCAGGAGATGCTTACATGTCGCATCATCCTCCATTTGGAGTTCATGACAGTTCCTCAACTGTTTTGTCTTTGTTTTTGTAATTAAAATGAACTTATGAGATGTGAACCATCTTGAACATCGGTAAAATACTGTTTTATACATCTGATCATATCTAAGATATTTTAATTCTAACGTTGTAAACAAGTGAAAGTAAAAAAAATTCAAATAAAATTCGGTCTGGGAAAGTACACAATACATTTCTGATAGAACCTTTTAGTTGTGTATGTGATTGATGCACAAAACTTAAAGATTTGACAACTATAGTGTTAACATACCCGTTTATATCTATAAGTTCTAAAAGAAAGCTTTGAAGGACAATTCTTAAATTGATTTACATAAAAAAAATTACATTCTTCTACAGTATTTTTTATCTATGAAAACATTTAGTTTTTATCATTTCATGATATTTTAATACTTTTATATTGCTCTGAATGTAAACAGAGACTTTAAAACAAACACGCACATATCATGCACATAAGAAATGAAACGTCACCATTACCACTGTGTCTAAACTACCCCGGTAAAATTGTTTTGTCTCGATCAATTTTCGTATGAAGATTCAAACCGGTAAAGAAAGAACACTTTTAAAGGAAATTACAATAAATAGACCCATATAAGTAAATAATTGTGCTGCTTATCTTTGACTATTACATTGTGGGATTGGTCAATGTTAGCATGCATCATGTAATATGTCGACCATCAATTGACACTTGAACATATTTTTATGATTTGACACAACATTATGTCTTGTGCTTCATACTGTTTGAAGGTTTATTGTCTTGCTCAAATTTCCTATTATTTGATATTGATAAAGATTCTTTTGTAGAGGAAACGCGCGTATGGTGTACACACTTTCCTGGTATCTATGATGAGTTTACTTGAGTAGATTGTGTTGCTTTTAGAGTGACAGTTTTCAAATAAAAGCACATAAACCGATTATTGAATGCACATGTGTTGCGATTAAAAACAAACATACAGATATCGATTTGTATACAATTTTTTTATTTGTCTTTATTTTGACATATCCATTTTAATATCCTATGCTTTTTTCTAGAAATTAGCAGAAAAGTAAGAAGTTTCAAATTACAGTGAAGGAGTTGACTATCTATTTTTGTGAGTGATTTTTATTAAACGGGTACTGATTTATTGAAAACAATATAAGTTTACATACATGCATCGCCGATAGTTTCTACTTTATATACGTCATATTTGTCGATAATATCATCAAAGGTAATATATAATTGGTTGAGTAACTGTACCACCTGTATCGGTGTGCTCCCACCGGAAATGGTTGTAAATCCAACAATGTCACTAAAGTAAATGGTACAGCTGTCAAACCATTCTGCTTCAATAGATTTGCCAATTTTTAAGTCATCAGCAATGGACCTTGGCAACATGCCTGTAAAACAGAAGTTGACCAATAAATAAAACGGACATGAATTCCACTCCAAGTGTTTATATATATATATATATATATATATATATATATATATTTAACATTGCTGTGCTGATATTTAGAGTAGTTATGAATATAATATGTGTTTTCAGCCGTGTATCACCTTCACTGGTGATCCAATGGATGGATATATCGTAGAGTTGTTACTTGTTTATACGTACTTATATATCATAAAAAACGTCAAGATGTTATAGTCAACGATATTTCTTACGAGGGCGCTGGGTCGATACGAGTAACGATACATGTACACAATAAATAAATTATATAAACGCCTAAAAAGTGTACAAAACAACACCAATATTAAAAAAAGGAAACAATAAATGTAAGTATCTATAAATATTTCGGATAACAGATATCCTTCATCAGTATGATTATGATGTAAAATGAATCATGTCAATTTATTCTGATTTTACTATAACAATCTTGAAATTGATACAATTAAAACCGAACACAACAACGCTTGTACAATTCTAAAATTTCAAAAATGACGTAGGTTATATAGGTATTTACAACAGAGACTACATAGATATGCTTCTAATAAAAATAGTAATGTGCGATGAGAAGTGGAAAATTTCTAAAATTTCAAAGGTGACGACAGTTAAGATATTACAACAAAGACTACGTACAAATACATTCCCAAATGAACAGCACTGACGATTTGAGCTGGTATGATATTTCAAATTTGACGACGGTGCTGTTCATTGGGAATGTATTTGTACGCAGTCTTTGTTGTAATATCTTAACTGTCGTCACCTTTGACATTTTAGAAATGTACCAGTTCAAATCGCACATTACTATTTTTATAAATTACAAAAGTAATTGGGCGGTCTTTCAGATTTATATAAATTGTGTATAGATGGTAGATTTAGCTTGTAACAAGTAGCAAGTTTGTAATTGATTGGATCATTGAAAGTATAAATGCTAAATATAACAATGTGTCGATATTAAGATGCAGTTCAAGGAGTTTTATAAATGCCTAAAAAAAATCGTGAAAATCGAAATACCGTTCAATTACGTATACTTCTCATCAATCTATCTTTTAACAAATTGCAGACGTATTCTTTTCATAGACACGACTATGTTCAATTTTCCTATTCGTCTTTTTTATTGTTTCAGTATGAACAAATAAAAACGGTCATACTACAGGATTTTTCCCACAATACCATCATTTCTTTCAAGATTTCAATTGAAGTAAACTCGAATAGAGGTTGTCTGGAGCAGATAAATCATTAATGAAGCCAATTATCCTATCGTGCTATCTAATTATAAACTAATTATACTTTAAGGTAGCTTAGAGGAAAGTAAAGCACAATGTTTACGTTAGATTTAACCTACTGTAAAGCAATCGGTCGGTTTTCTGCTTCTCGTGTACCAAGTCCTGGGTTCTCTCCGCTACTATAGATTCTAAATGTTTGGAATACTTCTCCATCTGGAATAAATTAATTACATTATTTTTTAGTTGCCCTTTCTTTTAATAAACTTAGAATAATAAGCATGGATCCCTTACAAAAATATGTTTTGATCTACGATGGAGCAATTGATTACATGATTAAAAGAAGTCAGCTGAATTTGATATAGAAAGTTGAATAAACATAAATAAGATTTTGAAAGATAAAGCAAAAAATATCCCATCAAGTCCTTTATCAATATTTCAGTTTGTGGAGAATTATATGGATGACCATTGTTTTGTTACGTGTTACTATAATTAATTTGTTTTATAGTTTTGAGATAAAACGATCAATTGTTTTAATCTGGAATAAAAGTACAAGGTATCTATTCCACTATATGTAAAATAATTTATCCACGCTGTCATTCTGGTATTACTTGTAAGAAACAACCGATTATCTTACCATTGCCATCATTAGGTCTACTGGACTCATCTTGTGGGGATTGATTTTATGGATAGTTTTCTTTATAGTATCAAAGTCTGGTCTGTTTACTGTTACAGTATCCCAACAGTCATTCAGTAACTACAAAATTTGTATTCCATTTTATATAACTTTTTTTTTGTATTTTGGACATTGCGTTCATACCACATACACATTATACGGCAAATGATCAATTCAGTCATATGTATTCTATGTATATTTGCATAGAAGAATTCTGTACAACGCTGATCAATTAAGGTTTTTAATCGTAAATGATTTATATTATACATTGCTATATCATTATGTGTATGTATTGGAAATTTGGTATTCAAATGAGAGCATTGAAAAACAAAAGAGCAAATATATGTCAACATAAAATAGAACGATTTTTATAAAATATGACAAACTTTAAATCGTCCCTAGGTTAAAATTCACAGAGAAAATCCGTCACCAGCACAAAGTTCTCTAAATAACAAAACAACAAATTTTGAAATATGACCAATTACCACCACTGACGAGGTTTGGGTTTTTGAACAGACATCCAAACGAAGCAAAGAAACATCTATAGGTCAACACAGAATGCACATGAATATGTGGTGGGGCTAAACAAGTTCAAAATAACATGCACATGAATATGTGTTGGGGTCAGAAAAAAGGGGAAATAACTTAAATCTAAGGTAACAAGTACATATAGAACAACAATTGAAGTATGTAAGGTTAATCTAAGCAAGCTATAAATAAAATATTCATACTGCTGTTTAGAAATCATGTCATTCTACACGCTTAACAATAACATGATCATCGGTGTATGTACGTCAGAGTATATTTAAAAAATCAACGTTATAAATAACATAGGAACCATGATCTTGTACAATGCTAAGAAGAGACCTGTGAATTATTCAAATGAAGAAAAAAAAACATAAGAAACAAAAGAGTGTAAAAATTGTTTTTCTTCGTTATATTATATTCTTCAGAGTTTGACGGATATTAGCCTAGCAGTTTCAGAGAAAAAAACATTCTAATTATAATAAACAGAAAAATCTGCAGGTTTTGTTTCCGCTTCTTTCTCATTCTTTACAGCAAAATTGTTTGTAGACATTGGAAGCTACGTGATGGCAGAAGTTTAACGTTAGATCCTTAGTCAAACATGGACAGCCGTATACTATTCCATAAAATTTTGGTTCACACCGGTTAAGTAGTTTTAGGGTAAAGGATGACAATGTAATTTACCACCATATTTCAGTGGTAATTATGTGCCAGTTACCTCGATGTGGCCAACATAGTACTAAATGGGAATCATTTGTAGACGGTATTTAACTAATAAAACCTGTTAAACTATTTAAGAACGCCTTTGGTACCAATTTGTCATACAATTGGAACCAAATGAGGACTATTTGTAGACGACCATCCCTAAATTACGGTTTAAATATTTATCTATAATGCGTCGAAAAAGACATTTCCTGTGTTTCTATGGGAACTATGTGCCCCCATTGACACTGTGTTCGCAACTTGATCAAACTAAGAGAATCAATTGTAGAGTCTTCAAATCGTCAATCCTATAAAAATTTTAAACGTTTTGACACATCTTCAGAGAAGAAATTTGAAAATGCGTCACTCAAAATGAAAGATTTATCATTACTTTTTGAGATCTTGTTTTTCATTTGATAAAAACTATAATGAGGAATTTCTTGTAAAGGATCTGCCATATGTACACCATTCCTGCCAAGTTTGGTTTGTAATGGCTTTTATATTAGTTTCAGAAAAAAAAATGCATTTGTGAAAAGTTTACGGGCGTCGTGCAACGGAAGACGATAGACACCAAGTGATGACAATAGCTCACATAGGCCAGGTGAACTAAAAAGACGAACTTGATTTTTTTCTTGGGTTTTCAAAAATGTTTTTAACAGAACAATGAGATCATAAAGTGACTTTTAGGAAAGAATTTGTTAAAAGTTAAGATGATGCTAATTTTGAAAATCAGTCAACGGATTGAAGAGACAATGGTGTGAAGGTCACATATATTAATTCACATTTTTAATCCAATAGTTGCCGTGCCGTGCCGTGTCGTGCCGAAAAAAAAATAAAAACCAACATATGTTTACTTAAAAGTATTAAAGTATGAAGAAAATGGTAGAAACTTCATTGGAGTGAGATTTTTCAGGTATATCTGACGTAGACATTATATTTGGATATACCCGATGTATCTACTTTGCTAAACCAAAGTTGTGTTGTTGTTGCAGTATATTTATTATATGTTTGCAGTCTCTCCATTTTTACAGAAATTTCACGTTTTCCTCCACTCACTGTTTTTGAAAACCGTATGTTTATATCTATAATACTAAATCTAATCTATAATTTGTCGGGTTTCAGGAAAACCCTTGGCTTAAAATGAAAGAGATATAGATTGTGTCGGTTATTCTTGCATTAGCATATCAGCTCTTAAAGACAAAAACGTCCCTCTGTTTAATTTGTAAATGTATTTTGTTTACAGTAATGAAATTTCTAGAATGCTTGACGTCACATATTCATATAAGTACTTATCTTATGTGATTAGAATTGTCCCCCTTTTGCCAAGTTTAACGTGAAAACTATCGAACGACTTGTAAATAAGTAATATAATGATAATGTCCTACACGGTACTTCTTTACACCTACATATTGGTTTTGTAGAGTTCAGTTGCCTCATGCTTTACATATAGATAAATTAATTGATATTACTACAAAACAGTCAGTTTGTCTTTTACAAATGAGTTTGATAACCCTTTGGTATCTTCCGCCTCTGTTTTATAACTATCTACTTGATTTTTTTTGTAAGTACAAATAAAGACTGGGTGTTATTGTTTTTTTTTTTTTGTAATACTACATTTTATTTTTATCACAAATATAGGGTTGTTTTTAATTTATTTTTGTATACATATATAGTTCTCTCTATCGTATATACCTCTTCTACTTATGTCTTAGGGTTTCCAGATGCAAAAATATGGGTTCAATGTGGGAGTCGAAATAGTTAGCAAGATTTTTTACGATATATTGGGTTAAATTTCTACTGGGCTACTACGAAATCCGATATGGATATGATTTTGTAACCGAAAACAATACAAAAATCAGCGTTTTAATTGTCAGAATGTTTTTTTTACTGGGTTTTAGTTTTGTATTATTCAATATATTTTTGAAAAGGAGTCCATATTGCACTAAGAACTTTGATTTTGCCTTATTTTTACAAAGGTATCTGTGACTGCATCGTCACTGTACAGTTGGTCTGTACATCTTGTGCAATAAAATTGGTACCATTAATGTATCAGACTATTTTACCGAAAAAGAAGATACTAAAACTTATTATGATTAGGTTGTTGTCTCCTTGACATAACCCAACATCTACAGTGGAGATCACTTCTAACTGTCAGGATCAGTTCTAGGGTAGAACTGTCTTAAACTGTTCTAGGTAGAACTGTCCAAATCAGTTCTAACCGTAGAACTGTCAGCAGAACTGACTAAATCAGTTCTAACCGTAGAACTGTCAGCAGAACTGTCTAAAACTGTTCTAGCCGTAGAACTGACCAAACCTGTCAGGATTGTAGAACAGTTTTAAATGACGTCACTGCAGTTAGGGCATCTCACTTGTCACCATTCAGTGTTATTATTATCGTTGATAAAGCCACACGCAAAATGCCTCCTGTCAAAGTTAACAGAATTTCAATGTATTTGAGACAGCGAATAGTTAATCTTCGCCAAAGTGGAAAATCGTATGTGAAGATTTCCAGTATTTTATCCGACACAGAGGGAGTTGTGATATAAGTCTTTAAATTTTATCAACGTTTTCCGTGAGTGAAGTTTTTAAATCGTCGTTTTTCGTAAACAGTGATGAAGGTGGTGTTAAACTATTGTTTTTCGTGAACAGTTTTGTTGCATTTCCTGTGAACTGTGATCAGCTAACTTAACATTTCGTTAACTCTGATGAAAAATCCCTCTTCCCTACATTACCCCCCTCACAGATAGTTTGGGTGGGATGGGGCTGAGATTACTATAACACATAGTATATTATTGTTATAGTAATCTCAGACCTGATAAAATAACTAACTCTACACAAGAAAGGGTTAAAAAATATAATTATTATGAAGAATGTAAACAAACTGTGACCTCGATCAAAACGATAACAAGCTTATTGTCAAAAAGCATGTTCCATCCACAAAAAAACGTGTCACCCCTTTCCCGTCAGAATTTCACCAGTCGTTCATTATAAACTCTAAATAATGAAATTTGGTATTTTTTTTACCTGTAAGTACAAATATTTCATAAAATTATTTTTTTTGCCACTCTCCTCCATCGACATCCATCGTAACAAAATTTCCGCTATAAAAGCGACCGAGGAAACGGTTATGGACATTTTCCGTAACGAGAAATGTTAAAACAGTGCTGTGATGAGAATTTTTTAATATATATTATATTCTTTTGACTTATTTATATTTAAGACAAAGAGTTCTTAAAACTGTTCTATGGATAGAACTGACTAAATTAATTCTAGCCGTAGAACTGTTCTAGTCGTAGAACTGTTCTAGCCGTAGAACTGTTTTAGTCGTAGAACTGACCAAAGATTTGGTCAGTTCTAGGTAAAACTGTCTAAAACTGTTCTAGGGTAAAACTGTCAGGATCAGTTCTAGGTAGAACTGTCTAAATCAGTTCGAGGTAGAACTGACCAAATCAGTTCTAGGTTAGAACTGTTCTAGCTAGAACTGTCTAAAAGGTGTCAGAATGACAGTTCTACATACTGTCCTAGAACAGTTCTCCTGACAGATTCTGACAGATTTGATGAGAGGTTAGAAGTGATCTCCACTGTATTTAAATGTATAGAATATCGAAATCTTCATAGTATAACCATAGATGTATATAACCATAGATGTATATACATCTATGGTATAACCTATGGAAGGTCTTTAACAAACACAAACGATGGTCGTTTAAGTCATTAATGTAAAATCCTTCTAACTGAAATTCAAGGAAAAAATAAGCAAGACAACCATGTTTTTTTATAACAACCATCCACCCCACAATCAAAATAACTGCTTTATTCATTGATATTTAACGTATCCTTTAGACTCGAGCTTGAGTGGGTTAATTTCTAGTACAGTCATAAATAAATAATTATAACTGAATGGTTGTTTTACTGCTAACTATATGACCTCCTTCTCTACACACCTTACTGCGGAACCTTGGAAATTGTGAATAGTAAATCAAGTTTCAAGTGCCCATTGTTGCTAACATTCGGACACCTCCTCCATGTGAACTCCGCCGCATTTCTCTGTCATAAATATCTTTTCTAATGTTTTTTAGCATATTTATCTTTCATTTAAAAAGAATTTAACTTTGTACATTGAAGCCTTTTTGAGTGAAACAATGTTTGAATTCGATGAAAATCACTCATCTCGAAGGGAATTCTAGTTTAAATGATTTTCCGTACATTTTCTGTCGTATTCTACTGACCTAATGTATTAAAATTTTACTGACCAATCGCAGAAAAATTCTCCCCAAAAAAGAAACTATCAAAGGATCATAGATATAACTAGAATTTTACTGGGGAGTACATTTTTGTTGTATTTTCTTAAATGAAATTGGTATAGAAAATATATATCCAGCAATGAGCACAGCTGAACCTGATAAATATTTTCCTATTCAAAAATAAATACCTAAGACAAAACTTTAAATGATGTTCTATTACAGATTAAAAAAAAAATTTCGGACAAATAGCCTTTCATATTTCAAAATACAAAATTAATTCGTTTTTAAACTAAACCTTAAATCATAAATCTGATGGGCAGTGTATAATATTTAAGTTTATGTTTTTCATATAAGTATCAGTTCATTGCCTTTAATCTGAAGCCGGTTTATTGTGAAAAGAGACGTGTTAAATATTTCAGCTTTCTTCCAAATATGGTATTCCTGAAAGGATGTTTCCCCTATATATCGTAGTAGTTTCGTTTTAGTTTGAGACACAATATAACAATAGAGTTCAAACTATTGGGGAAATAAATGCATGTAGTCCATCCTTGGTCTTGAAGTATAGATTCTACGTACTGACGTTGTTTATCGTCTTAATTACGTGTTATAGTGTTCTTTTATTTGTCTTTGTAAATTATTAACCTTTACTGTTTAGTCCATTTTGGTAATATTCTATTGGCGTGGCTCGGTACTTATATATCCCGTCATTGTGTTATTGTGCTATGGTCATTTTTGGTATTCTTGTCTTTCATTTTTGCTTATGTGCTTTGTCTATATGCCATTTTGTTTTTCTTTGTTGACATATTTGTTTGTTTTATAGTGATTAAGACTATAACACAATGTTGACTGCTGTACCCCAATTTTTGACATTTTTACCTATTATGTCTGTTTGTTTTATTCCCACATTGTTGTCAATATAATGGAATTCTATGCGACTGTCATACAAGTGAGAGGTTTAGCTAGCTATAAAACCAGGTTTAATCAACTATTTTCTACATAAGGCAATGCCTGTACCAAGTCAGGAATATGACAGATGTTTTCCATTCGTTTGATGTGTTTTAGCTTTTGATTTTGCCATTTGATAATGGACTTTCCGTTTTAAATTTTCCTTGGAGTTTTACTTTTTAGTGTTTGTATGATTATTAAAAGAAGTTGATATCGCCACTTACATTGATATAATCAGATGGACAAGGACATGTATTATCTTTATCTCCATATTCTGGGTTCAGGTCTGGTACAGGAGGTTTCCAAGATTCGGGAAGGTCATTTACATCTTCGTCCTGTAAACATTTATATGATCTTCATGTAGAAATATAATTCTTATATAAATAGTTTTATTGTTTTGGCCATTTGCACTATGGTTATCGATCGAATAAAATGAGTGAATTAACTGAAGGGTAACATACTATGTTTTCGGGCCCAAAAGCAAGACGGCTAAATACGTGTCTTGATTTAAAAAATACTGACACTGAAACAAGACATCTCGTAAAACCTGAAACAGTAATACTACTTTATATACTACATTACTTTTTGCGTACCCTATTTACGCTATTTATAATTAAACACAGTGTTTAGACAACATATACTGAACGGACTCTTCCAAGATTAAGCATGAATCGGGTGCATAAAAAAGATGAAACAATTTTTACTACAAAAAGATGAAATTAATTTTGATATTTTATTTCTGAATGTAAAAGGGCTTCAAAGAACATATAACTTTAGATTTTTCAAATATATTTCTGAATATTATAGTGAAGGTCTACAAAAAGAGATTGTTCACACATACCCAACTTTTCGCGGTAATAGGATTAATAAAACAAGCAAAATTAAAAATCTTTTTTCTTTAATTTAATCTTTTTGGCTTAAAAGACTAATGATAAATTTTGGAATTATACTGATGTTGCTTAGTCCTTGAATCTGGGCTTTTTATTCACTTATTGATTTAAAGACTAATTGTGTCTTTTATTACTTTTCGTTGAAATTTGGTACACAAAACTGGGGTTGCACACAGTCACGTTTTTCGGTACTTTTCACGCAGGTTAAATACGTTTCAGTAAATGCGAGCATATTTTTCATTGTTATTATAGTTGTGATTGTACTTGTATTTTTGTTGTCAATTATACCGTTATTGTTGAATGAATTGATTTTATTTTTTCTGTTCTGATTTTTATATAGTATTGATTTATTAACCTTTGTAAAACCAGTATTTTACATCATTATTATGATCATATATCAAAATTAAATAAAACTATTACACCATATGGATCGTTGCGTGTCGCTATTTCAACCAATATAATAGCAAAGGCATAAACATCTCCGGCTTGAGTGGGGATGTATGAAGATTGTCCGGTGAACTCAGGTGCACGATAAACATGTGTTCTCATTTCCTTGTAATAATCATCATCATTATCATCGTCGTCATCAAGGTCTACCATCATTTTGTCCTTTATCCTGTATTCTGTAAGTCCGTAGTCTGTGACTTTCACTGTCCACCTATCGTCCACTACACAGTTATTACTCTTTAGTCTTCCATGGATTATTTTGTGATCATGTAAATGATTCATGCCTCTTGCAATGTCGCTTGCAAATGAAAATCTTAAATATGAAAATAAGTATTTATAACTATGATAAACTATTGAATAATAGCATGTGAAAAGAGAAAACGATTTCATTGTGTAACAAATAATTTTTACATTGTCCATTCTAACAAAACGTATACTTCATAAAAAAAACTGAATGATGGAGAATATCCATCAAGATAAAAAATCACAAAGCAAAGCTTGATTTGTAACCCTATGAATGAAATGAGGAGCAAGGTCAGTTAAATATAAACCCTGGTACTCAATTAGAAAGACAACTGTCTGCTTTTCAATCTAATTCCATTGAAATAATAAAAAAAACCACTGTAATAATATGATGTTTTGTTAAAAGACCAATAAATAATATACATATCTATAAATGACAACCTATAAGTATAAAATTTAACGATTTATTTAACAGCGCTGCTATTGTACATAACCAACCTGAATGCCCAGTTCAGTGGCACTTCATCATTCATCAGAACATCACTGATACTTCCTTTAGGACAATACTCTGTTAGTATACATACGTTTGGTACATCTATACAGCCTGCTACAAACTTACACAGGTTTAACTGATCTAACTCCCTACAAAATATATGTATAATATAAAAATAAGAAGGTATGGTTTAATTGCCAGTGAGACAACTCTCCACCAGAGACCAAATGACATAAAAGTTACAACTATATATAGGTCACCGTACAGCCTTCAACAAGTGAGCAAAACCCATACCGTATAGTCAGCTATAAAAGGCCCCGAAATTACAAATGTAAAACAATTCAAACGAGAAAACTAACGGCCTGATTTATGTAAAAACAATGAACGAAATACAAATATGATATACAGCAACAAACGACAACCACTGAATTACAGGCTCCTGGCTTCGGACAGGCATATACAGAATTTGGCGGGGTTAAACATGTTAACGTGCACCAAACCCTCCCCCTAACCTTGGAAGTGGTGTAATAGTATAACATATGAACAAACCATAAAAATCAGTAGAAAAGGGCTTAACTCATCAGGTCGATACAAAGCAGAAAAACAAGTAACAAAAACACAGACCAGACGTGGCAGGGTATTTATACATCCCTACAACAAAAAAGACACTAACCCGGCCACGTCCACTTGTATTTGTAGTATTTGTATTTTTATCCATCTGATGAGTTAAGCCTCTTTCAACTGATTTTTATAGTTCGTTCTTATGTTGTACTGTTACACCACTGTCCCAGGTTAGGGGGAGGGTTGGGATCCCGCTAACATGTTTAACCCCGCCACATTCTGTATGTATGTGCCTGTCCCAAGTCAGGAGCCTGTAATTCAGTGGTTGTCGTTTGTTTATGTGTTACATACTTGTTTTTCGTTCATTTTTTGTACATATATTAGGTAGTTAGTTTTCTCGTTTGAATTGTTTTACATTGTCATTTCGGGGCCTTTTATAGCTGATTGTGCGGTATGGGCTTTGCTCGTTGTTGAAGACCGTATGGTGACCTATAGTTGTTAGTTTCTGTGTCATTTGGTCTCTTGTGGAGAGTTGTCTCATTGGCAATCATACCACATCTTCTTTTTTATATATACTAAGTACAGATCTGAGATACTCTCAATTACTGACAGCTAGTTCCAACTCAATAACAACTGATAAAAAAAAATCGTGTATCTAAGACTAAAGTATCAATCAGCACACATCCAACATCCAATGGATTTAATGTAAAGACGACATTAACAGTCAGAGAAACACAATGTTACTGAAATATGTTCACGATTTAGCATGCTGAAATCGAGTTATGTTCAACTTGGAATATTCACTTCATATAACTAATGTCGACTGATTGATTTATTAGTATGTGCTTAGCTTCCAGTGGCAAATATTTCATCGATATTGAGGACGAGAACGAATTGATAATAAATACTACAGGAAGGTCTAGCAACGTTTGGGTCAACCGGGATGAAGTGTGGGAAATTTGGACTACCACTGGAAAATGAGGGAATGTTGGACAGGAACAGAAATTTTGTCTTCCAGTAGGCCACGTAAGGACCCCTAAGAGAATTATTGCAAGGGATCTTAAACGTGCAATGGGCGTGGCTCTCTTTCTACACGAGACATCGGATTAAACGTCCCCATTCCGACCAGACGTAGCTGTGTATTTATACAACCCGCACTGCAAAGGGGCCCCCACTTTTGCAAGGTTTTTACTGACGGAACGGGAGAAGTCTAATGGATGACAAATATTGTTACATCTCAGTCAAATTTTGGGGTTAATTAATGTCGAAATAAATAGAAATATGATGAATACTTTTGTTTTATACAAAGATTCTAATGTTTAGTTTAAACATATTTTATTTGAAAAAGTAGCAAAAGGGATTGGACACAAGCTATAACAACATTAGTGACGTCCTCTCCCTATAAAAATATAAACACAAAATAAATTAGATAATGACGAAAAACATAGTAGGAATGCATGTATACAAACTAAAAACAAAAACAAAACCAAAAACAAAAACAAAAACAAAAACTAAAAACAAAAACAAAAACAAAAAAAAAACAAAAAAATACAAAATAATATGGAATATTGTAGAGGACTGGACTGGAGTAAAGAGTTGGAAGTAGGAATTCAGAATTTTAATTGAATGTTCTAAATCTTTGTAATTCTGATTTATGATTGTACAGACTCAAACATTTCTTTGTTTTGCTGAAATGAAAGGTCACCGTCACCAGCCAATAGAAGCTCAATAGATATAGCATAACTTTCTAATTTTAAAACAGATTTTCTCTTGCTTCGTTGTGAAAAGGGCACTAAAAAAATAGTAAATACTATCCTCAACAGGATGGTCACAGCTGCATACGGGATTGGGTTTAATATTAACACGGTACAGATCTGCATTTAAAGAACTGCACATATTTCTCAAACGTGTATGAATAATATTAAGTTTTCTTTCACCACAACTAGAATAGGTGGGTGGCTGTATCAATCTGGATTTCATCTTTCGTTTAAATATATTTATATTTCTGGAATTACGTATGTCGGGGTTAGGCTATTCCATTCAATAGTAGTAGATGGAAAAAAAGATTTTCTGGTTATATCTAGTCTTTACCTGGGTACTACATAATTATTACTGTTTCCCAAATCATAATTATATATTTGACCAACAAGTGGGGGCATTAAATCCTAGAGGTAATCAGGGGCAGTTCCATTATGTAAAGAATAGAACATATTGAGCTTTCTGGACTTTCTTCTGTCTACTAGCTACTGCCTGCCTGTTTCGAAATATATAGTTTCCCGACTAGCAAACACGGGCAACCCAGTTACTAATCTTCCTGCTTCCAACTGAACATGTTCTAAATTATCGGAATCTTGTTGAGTACAACCATCCCATATCTCACATGTATATTCCATAATTGGTCTTATAAATGTTAAGTATATACGAGCAAGATAATATCTATTCAATACATATTCCATTTTTTTGAGAACATTTAATCCTTTGCTTGGACAATTTAAAATGTTTCTATATGTGTATGGAATTTACCATTGGTATCAAAAGTAATTCCTAAGTGTTTATGACAGGAGACAAATTCTACTGCTTGATTTTGAAATTCTATTTCGATATCATCTGGGGAAGTATTACAGGAGAATATCTTTTGTCTTATTACGATTAAAACTAATTAGCCATCCTGTCAGAACGGCCTACCACTCCGTACCAGCCACAACAACGCAGTCGGAGTAAGATGAAAGCAAAATGACAGACAGATCCAAATCTGTAACTTAAGTACATCAGTCCGCAATATCCAAAAGGATAGCCGGACCCTAAAACCTATCATCATCATCAGCCAATCTTTAGACCATGCTGAGATTTGTTCTAAATCGCAATTTAAGACATCCTCTATTGTGTAAGGACTATTACTGGAATAAGAAAGGAATCATGTGTCATCAGCAAACAATTCGAGTTAGGCTTATCAAATTATCAGCTATGTCATTTACATAAAAAAAGGAATAGAAGGGGACCTAATACATAGCCTTGCGGAACTCGTGCATTTGTATTCTCAAAAGGCGAATATGAACTTGAAACAAAAACACTTTGTTTTCTATTTGAAATATAACTTTCAAACCATTTGTACAGTTTTCCATCAATACAATATGCTTTCAGCTTTATCAAGAGGCCAGTATGCCATACCCTATCAAAAGCTTTCGAGATATAACATAATACAAGAGAACAAATCTCAGCATGGTCTAAAGATTAGCTAATTAATTTTAATAACTTGTTTGCTATATATAAAGTGATTAAATAAAATCTAATGAACAATAGTATTTTATCATTGATATTTCATTTACAGCTAATATCAATCTACATTGTATATGTTGAATAAACGAGTTGTCATGGTCTTGTCGTTATTATTATTATTACAAATGTATCAGTAGTACCTATACCCGTAGGCGAAAGGGAGGTCCAAGGGGTTTAGACAAACCACCCTTTGAAAAAAAAAATACAAGTTAAGACTATAATATTCGAGTTTCCGATTGAAGTTTGACGATTAAAGTCAAAGCTTCTTGACTTCAAATAACCTGCCTCAGATATACCCTGGTTACGGACCGAAGTATTTGTAGATAATAATACTTTACCTAGTAGCTTTCACTTCTTTTCGTATCTTTGATGTAAGTGAAAATTCTTTTTTCTTTATTTTTCTGACGCAAACTGTTCTACCTTTGCTGTAAAATTGAAGAATTTAATTGTTTTGACAATTAAAAGACAAGGTACTAGTATTTATCTAAAACGAGGCAAAAGTTTTATCTCTTATATAACTCTCAAATAACTCTCCATTTAATATTGGAATCTTATAAGAAATGTATGTGAAGTTGATGAAAAATATAACTACATATAACATCCTCTAGTTCTATTCTTATCTTTTATTGCACTACGCGTCTTAAGAGACCTGTCTTAGGTTATGTGGAGGGTTGAGCGCTCGCAAACATGTTTAACCACGCCACCATTTGTATGTACCTGTCCCAAGTAAGGAGCCTTTTAATGAGTTGAAGTCGTTGGTTGTTGTTTATCAAAGTTAAGTTGTTTATTGTTTTGTACATAAATCAGGTCGTTGGTTTTCTCGTTTGAAATATTTCACATTTTGCCATTTCGGGGCCTTTTATAGCTTACTATACGATACTGGTTTTGCTACTATGTTGAAGGCCGTACGGTTACGTATATTTTTTTTTTTAGATCTACGTGTTTTTATTTGTTGTGGATAGTTGTAACATTGGCAATTTTTAGAGACGATAAAATCCGAAGTTTATTGAAGTCTTTTTTGTTAAAAAACCAAACTGGTCATACATTTAACGAAATCCAGAGTCAAGTCGTGAAAGTGCATAGTAATAAAATAAAGCATATTTACAATCCTATTAGGCTTTAATTCCACTTCAATGATATTATGAAAATGATTCTGAGAATTTCTATACATAATTTTATTGTAATTGTCATTCGAAAGGTGATATGTAGTAATATAAAATGTAAAAACAAAGCTTTCATACATTTTTTTTCTTTTTAAAAGACTTCTTTATTCATTAGAATCAGACATCATTTTGAATTAAAACATGTTGTATTCAGTAAAATATATATGAAATTACAATACATTGTTAATAAGTCTCCGTGGGAGATTATCTCGAATCATTGATCTTTTGAAATGTTGATCTTATCATCCTTTGAAACTGCAAGAGAACATATTTAAGCTTAAAGTATATTTCACCAAGTATTTATGAGATTAATTTCAACAAAGCTTTGTAGCATGCATAAAAAGCACCATATAGAAGAAATGATGCCAAAACTTAAATTTTGACATTTTTTTAACAATTGCAACATTAAACAATTATTTACTTTTGATGAGGTTGATACTATACAATTACTGTCTTTTGATGAGGTAAATATGTGGTTTTATTGACTTTTGAAAAACTGATATTCACTGAGGCCAACGGCCGAAGTGAATGTCAGTTTTTCAAAAGTCAATTAAACCACATATTTACCGAAACAAAAGTCAGTAATTGTTTTATCCCATATTTCGAGAGAGTACAGATAGAAATGTATGTTATGATAATTATTTACCAAAACCAATTGTACATCAAACGATTTTAACATAATTATACACGTAAAAGCACGCGACGTTTTGCGCGGTGAATATACTTTTTCCGCAGGTGAATATGATTATTTATTCAAAATCCCATTCATATAGAAAAACCTACTAAAGTTCTATCAATATGGAATAAAAAGATTTATCAACCCCAGAGATATGATATTCACCGAGGCCAACGGCCGAGGGTGGATGTCATATCTTTGGGGTTGTTAAATCATTGTATCAAAAGTCAACAATTGTTTTATTATATGACTGTTTATCCTTCTCCAATTTTCTAGTATTTGCTCAAGATACTTTTAAAACTGCTCCCTGTTTTTATAATAAATATATCATCTGCTTTTGCAGTTGCTAATTTTCATCATAAGTTGAAATATTCAATAAAGTTTACTAAAAAAAAATACACCGAAAACACGAAAAAGAGACAAAATACATCGAAAACAAATAGAAAAAAGAAAAAACAGGAATTTGCATGACGTCATAAACTTACTTCATTGACGTTGCCTTGTAATATACATATTTAGGTACACGGAAGCTGTTTCAAATCTTATATCAACCTCTCGTGATTTTTGTCGCGGTGAATATAATGTTTTATCAAAGAGATTTTCGTATAGGGCTTTTAACCAATGAGAAAACATAAAATTTATAGTCATATAATAATATTACCTATCACATCTCGAATGACAATTACAATAAAAATATGTATAGAAATTCTTAACACCAGTTTCATAAAATACCGACCGTGCGAGACCCTTGTGGGTAGTCAAGGTCGTTCAACACCCCCTAGTATTAGTTTCCTAATTGTCAATACAATGGAATTACAGTCTATTAGAATTGTAAGTGTGCTTTTTTATTACCTTGCTTACATTTTCACGTCTTGACTGTGGATTTCTACTGCAGTTTGTTAACCTTTCTGACCAGTTTGGATCGTTAAAACAAATTGCAATTTAGCCAGAATTTTGAATAAACTGCAATAGGTGGAGAGCAACAATTAAAGTCAAGTCTCAGTAACTACAAACATAAGTTATGTAAATATAAATACACATGTTTTGATCGATTTGCATAATAAACAAATAATGCTCTGTTTTTATTTTATATGATTGAAAATTTGCCTACAATAAATCAGTATTCCGGTAAATATCTGGCAATGACAGTGATTTTTTTATCAACCATAAAACTTTCTATGTGAAAATTTGTAATATTTTCCAAATCACAAATGTTTTCATTTGATTTAAAAACAGCAACAAATCGCAAATCGCAACGTGACATGAAAGTTTTGAACACAGCAAATAACATGTCGCACCCCCTCTGGATTGACGTTAAGGAATATTCCTTCATGGTCTTCGAAATGATCAAATAAAGACCAGAATGGCTGGTAAAAAGCTACGTTTTTTTTATTAGTAATGGATGAAAAGCTTTATAATACGAATGAACGACAATATCAGCAAGACTTAGTGATTTACATTTCAGTGTTGAATTAAATAAAATATGAACCATGTTCCAATCTATCAATTCGACGTTGTAACACTGATCAAAGAATATCAATACAACAGCGGAGTGTCAAGTTCACCCTTTCGTTTGCCTTTTGGTATTTTGTTTCATAGACAGAAGGATACAGTTTATTTTAACTCTCTGGTATATGATGGTTATACTAAAAGAGTTAAAGATCAGCTGTGTCAAATTTAAATGAAGTAGAATTATATATACGAAAAAAAAACATTTGCTGAATTACTAAAGGGAACAGTCATGCGTCAGTCGTGATGTTCATACCAATTTCCGGAAATGCTTTAAAAAAATTGGATGCACTGGTCTATATATAATTATATGATACAATTTGTTCTTCAATGGCAAGGTAACTGAAATTAGACCTGAAGTATAAAGATATTGGACATCTGGTCGTGTATTGAGTTACCCTGAAGAAAAAAGTTCTTAGAAACATACAATATAGCTGTTTTAGCAAACACTTGTTTTCGTGTTGCGGACATAGCCATGCTGTTTGTCCCGCTAATGTCGTTTTTACTGGAACAATTCACACTGATCATACTGCCAAATGCACCTCTTAGTCCATCATCTAAAAGATAAATAGCATATGTGTATATGGATATTTTACAGCTCATGTATATGGCAAAATGTATATATTCAGCATATAAGAATAATTTATTCAGTGTCATTCTTGAACTTGTTTTATGAATTGACCTCGTCTGTAAAATGTTTTTAAATAGTTTGTAAACTTTTTCCGAATTGGACAAGTATGAAATAATTAAACCAATCCAAACTTAATATGTAACGCTATTTTTGTAAAGACAATTTTTTGTAAATCATAATATAGTGTTGTGACCAGTACATATAAACCTTAATCCCAAGATAAAGGATGTAGAAGAGAGGCGAAAGATACCAACAAACTCATAAGTCGAAATAAACTGACAACGCCATGGCTAAAAAAGAAACAAACAGACAAACACAAACACAAACACCAACACAACTTAGAAAAATAAAGACTGAGCAACACGAACCCCACCAAAAACTGGGGGTGATCTCAGGTGCTCAGGAACGGTAATCCACATGTGGCACCCGTCGAGTTGCTCGTGTTAGTACAAATCCCGGTAAAAAGAAATAAAATAATAAAATATGATTAAAATTGTCTGAAATATACAAGACTTTTATACTGATAATGTCGAATCTAAGAAAAACAATGCAATGCCGATGTTCATTACTTTGGACTGTTCTGACCAATGTGAATTTTGTGACGGTTAAAGTCACTAGATGTTGATTTTTAGTTCTGAAATAGTCCAGAGTGCGTCTTTTCATTAAATATCTCAAATTAGACAGATATAGCTGAAAATCATTTTATCTTAATATTTTTTTTTTAATTTTTAAATATGTTTTTAAACGCACAAACGAAGAACAATAAAGAGCTGCGCCATGAGCGCATGATACGCCCGTTGCTTTTTCTACAAATAAAGTTCCATACTGCTCCGCTATGTCAACTCAGAAATTTATAAAAAAAAAAACCAAAGGGAGCTTATTTTAATAGATATAAACTAGTCACCAAAGTTTCATGAAAACTGCTTAAATCATTTTTGAGTTATTGTCCGAAAACTGGAAAATCCCCCTTTTTATCAATAAATTACCAATACTCCGAATGTAAAATCAGAAATTTTAAAAAATCGAAAGGGAACTTATGTCAATATATATAAACAATTCACCAAAGTTTCATGAAAATTGTTCAAAGCATTTTTGAGTTACAGTCAGAAAAATGGAAAATCCCCCATTTCTTATGAATACAATCCCATTTCTCGGAAACATAAAATCTAAAATTTATAAAAATCGAAGAAAGCTTACGTCAATAGATATAAACAATTCACCAAAGTTTCCTGAAAATTGGTTAAAGCGTTTTTGAGTTATTGTCCGACATGTTGACGACGGACGGACGAACGGACGGACAGACGGACAAACGGACAACAGTATACCATAATACGTCCCGTAAACGGCCGTATAAAAACCAACTGATTTCAATTTTAAAGCGTCATATACAGTACTGCTATTTACTTTGACAGTTATTTCTTTGAATTTAACAATATCACCTTATAAAGAACAAATTCACTAAAAAATATTTTTAAATCTTAATGTCGATGCGCTCTTTTGTTGTTAAATAATCAATGGACTGTTGATATAAACAACGGATCCCATAAAATAACATTTCCATGCATTCTTTATCTAACGTTACAGTCACCAAATTGCACAGAGTACCTGAATTGCATCCATCCTACAAAACAAGTTGCTTTCTTTAAAAAAAAGAAAATTTTTGTTTGCTTTTGAATTGAAATAATTGACTGTGAATTGGAAAATATAATGATGATGTTAAAACACTTTTTTAAAAATATGTAATTGTGTGTAGATTCTTGCACAAGTCAGCTGAAAGCAATGTTGAATAGTTGTGAATAGAAAAGTGAATATATACAGCTACTATTTGAAAATACATTTTAAGGCTCGACTATTTTATTTATTACTTGGGAGTGTACATCATTTTTTCATAACCCTTTTGCAAATCCAAGTTTCTTTAAACCGGATGTCTAATGCAAATTGCACAAATCAATCGCAATATAAATTTAAGCACTCAGTTTGCTTTAAAATCTGGATGCATTTATTTTATCTATCATATCTTCATATTTTGTTTCCTGGATGCCTTCAATTATTCTCAACTAGTTATTGCAGCTGTCTGTACTCATGGTAGATGTTGTATAGATAAATTTAAAGTCCAATTTCCATGTGAAGTGAAACCCTGTGGTATGCAACTTATAAGAAGGTTTCGTATATTTTTCTTGAGAGTAACAGACCAGCTTCATTTGGACCTCTTATAAAGAGACTTATTTTGGTCTTTTAAAACATCTCAAATTTTAAGGATTTCCTAATTTTACTTAAATCAATCCAAATATTCTACAGTAAAACTTGGTTTTGAAGAATATCTTATTTTCAGAAGTTTTATGAATACCTGAACATATTCTCAAAAATATATAAAAAGATATGTAGATATAAAAAGATACCAGGATTAAAATGTTGTACGCCAGACGCGAGTTAAGTCTACAAAGAATCATTAGTGACGCTCGAATAAAAAAAGTTAAAAAGGCCAAATAAAGTACGAAGTTAAGTAATCGTAATCCTTAGCATTTCAAAAATGTCAAAGTTTATAATAGGACAGTGACTCAAAAAAAAAAAAAAAAGAAAGACAGCCAGAGATCAGAATACCGTAAGTAATGATGACCGTGCTTGAAAGTCACATGTCAAGCTCTTACTGCCGTGTCCTGAATAAAGGTAAGAAAAGCGAAAATTCGCATCCACGAGTGAAATTAATATGTATGCATGCACGTGGTATTTTTGCGCAAGAAATAGTAAATAGAAAGCATACGCACTGATACTCTGGATAAGAATACGCATTTGCGTCATCACATATATTAATCTAATAGTTGAATTCGGATGTCAAACTACCTACCTCAAGTGTTTTGACTCCGGATTCATTGACATTTTATCCGGAATTTTTTTGAACGCAAACCGATAGTGTGCGTGTGAACAGGGTGATATATAATGTGAATGATAGCTGGTCAACATAATCAATACAATTTTCAAAATCGTACCATAGTACACATATATAGATGCTATAAGGTTGAACTATTAAAACAAACAACAAAAAAAAGAATTGAAATTTTATAATTAACATACATTCCTGTTAGTGAATTTTTTCCGAAAATTTAGAATACAATATCAATAAACACAAACGTCAAGTATTTACGGATGGACATTTTATTTATCAAATCAATCTCTTTTTAAAGTCTAACATTACACTATATGAATATATTGTTATACAAAATATAAGCAGAGACTTATAGATCCATACTAAAACAGTATAAAATGATTAACATTATGATAGTAATTAAATTTTGTTATGATTATTGTAAAATATTAATTACGTTTTTTGTGAGATGCAAAGATTTAAAATCCTTGTGAATTGAAACCATGCAAGTAGTTTTTCATTTACGACCGTTTAAAATTTAGATATTTAGTTAACTTTGGGTACGCATCCCTGCTCATTGGTGCTCATACGTTGCATATAATTTTCATAATATAATGACTGTTCAAACCTGTGAGACATAATGCACGTATATATGACAATTTTAATTATATTCTATTAAGAATAAATTCAGTCTCAGTTTAAACTTAATAATGAATATTCTCTTGGTCTGGTAGTATCTATTAATGAAATTAGAAATTTTTTGACAGAAAAAATCCTTTCGTTTGATTATCTTTCTGCTTTCCGACCACTGTGTTTCCGACCTAAGATAAATATTTTTAACAGAAATATTGTTTTCTTAATTTTCTTTATGCTTTCCGACATTTTCCCTTGCTATGATTGAAATACAAAATATCAAATGACAAACGTTCAGAAAAAATCAGTTTATTTTGGGACATTATATATCAATAAACTTTTCCCAGGTTTATTGTCACAATGCACAACAGCACGCTGAATTAATAACTACACACACAACGCGTACAGGGACCGTCTCAAAGCATGAATTATATAATTCCGTTATCATTATACTTGCTACTGATTTAATAAACATTCACATTATTAAAAAGACATATGTTTTGTCAAAAGGCAAATAGGTTCTAACATATAAATGATTTTTTGTTGTTTTATTGTTTTACTTTCCAATCTACAAATCAACTGTGATTGTTAAAATATACAATGTCACGTGGTAGCCTATCCATAGAGGGACCGTATCAAAGACATAGATAACTACCTATATAAATGATCGAAAAATTTTCGAAACGTTCCGAGAATCTTGATTCCGAGGATATCGAATGTCCCATAGACACTTCCAAAACTCACCAATATATAAGCGTGAACCCCTCAGAAATTGACATTGGATTAGTTTGCAGCCTGGTACAAAGTTCGATAAGTAGTTTGCAAGAGAAGATACTTTACACATACAACCCCAATAAAATCATGTGTGCTTATCCGGAGTTATGGATATTTTGTCAGCGAATGACAATTTACAAGAATATTCGGCTGTTATATGTCAAAGGACAGACAAACTTTATATAGTTTCATACAAAGTTTGCGGGTTTAGGATATTATAAAGTTTAGATAACACCAATACGATCACCCTATGATATGAAACATTCCATTTTAAATTAAATTTGTGGAACTATATAGTAAATAAGGATACATCTACAAAATAAACACTAATGGAAACTTTTGCCTTTTTTAATATAAACGTAGGTGAATAAACATGTCAAAATAGGTGCAATTTGTATGTGTATAGATGATGATGATACAAATAACATAAATAATGTTATATCAAACTGGCTTCGTTTTACAAAAAAAACAATTTTTTAGCTATTTGAATTTAATTATTAGGAAAAGCACATGTTTACCTTCCTTGATGTCATCGTGTTTAGCTATCCATGATTCGTCCCATAATAGCTTTCTTTGCTGATATCGAAAATACTACAAGTTAAAAATGAATTTGCTTTAGTATAAAAATAAGAAGTTGTGGTTTGATTACCAATGAGACAACTATCCGCCAATGATCAAATGAAGTAGATGTAAGCAATTGTAGGTCAACGTACGGCCATCAACAATGAGAAAAGCCATTACCGTAAAGTAAGCTTTGAAAGGCCCCGAAATGAGAAAATGTAAAACAATTCAAACTTAAATTATTAAATTATGATTTATGCACAAGATAATGAACAAAAAACATATATGAAAGACAGCACCGACGACAACCACTGAATTACAGGCTCCTGATTTAAACTCTAGGTTCATTTCAACTAATCAAATTCAAATAAATAATGTGAAAGATAACCCGAACAATTTAGTCGTTATATTGCTCTGCTCTACGAGACCACATTCACTGCATGAATAACCCTTGCAACAATTCTTTCAGGGTTTAGTATAGGTCGCCTGTTGCAAGGTAAAAGGTCTGCCCTTCTCCAAAATACCCCAGTTTTCCAGTGACTGCAGCGAAAGTAGAAGAGATTGATTACGGGGAGGGAATGAATTTTTCGGGTTAGGTGAAAGAATGGACGAGAATATTTATTCAAACTAAAACATATTTTGTGTTTTATGTTTCTTCACAGTTCTATTGTACATTATCATTTCATGAATAGAAGGGTATACCTCAATTAGAAATCAACCAAATGGCTCCATACAACAACAACAAATACTTAGAGGTCATTTTATGGTCTTCAACAAAAGACAATTGTCTATACAATCTACATTTTTTTTAATATTTGAATACTTGTAGTTGATATAATGAGATTCAAGTGACTCAAAAATTTATATTTTTCTTTTTGAATTGCAAATCCTATGGAGTATGTTTTTGCAGGAAGTTTATATCAAAAGAACTTTTTAACGTTAAACTTACTCCAAATACGATACATGCTGCAGTTACGGCAATGACTAAAAATGTAACAATAAGAGCTATCGCCCATGACTTCAATGGACATGATCCACAGTCCTTAGGACACGTCTCACAATCCTCCCCAGCGGCACATGTCCCATCCCCACAATCTAAAAAATATAATATGTTACAAACAATATTATGTTTATGCAAATTTTTGATATAAGTAAAGAATTTTTTACACAAATTCAATAGTAATAGCTATAGCAGTGTAAAGAGTGTTACAATTAAAACTTAATTATACCTAGTAAATCAACAAAACGGGTCTATTTTTCTTAATTTTGAAGTTTACTGACTGCAGCTTGCTCTATGATGCCAAACAACACAGTAACATAGAACTATTCTATTTTTATTGGTATAATATGGAACATTTTCCCATATGTAATATCTGAAAAAAAAATTGTATCAATACAATTTAATATTTTTCAAAATACTTTAATCTGCTGCCAAGAGGTTTTAAAAAACTTCATTACTTCAGATGCTATTCGCTTTAATTCAAGTTTTATTATAATAATGAGATGAGGTATGATTGCCATGAGACAACTATCCACCAAAGTTCAAATAAAGTGGATGTAAGCAATTATATAGGCAACCGTACATGCGGCCTTCAACAAGGAGAAAACCCCATACCGTATAGTCGGCTATAAAAGGCCCCGACATGAAAAATATGAAACAATTCAATTGAGAAAACTAACGGCCTAATCTATAACAAAACAATTTACGAAAAACAAATATGACAGAGACATGAACAAACGACAACCACTGAACTACAGGCTCCTGACTTTGGACAGGCACATAAAAGAATGTGGCGGGGTTAAATATGTTTGTGAGAGCTCAACCTTTCCCCTAACCTGGGACAGTGGTGTAACACCACAACAAAAGAAAACACTATAAAAATCAGTTGAAAAAGGCTTAACTCATCAGATCGATACAAAGAAGAAAACATCACACATGAACACAGATCGGGCGTGGTAGGGTATTTATCCATCCCTCATCCCTGAGACTACTATACCACTGTGTTATAGTAGTCTCAGCTCATCCCTAACAACAAAAAGGACACTAAGTATAGATCTCAGAGTACTCGCAGTTACTGACAGCTAGTTCAAAGCCAATAACAGCTTATAAAAAAAATTATGTATCTAAGACTAAAATATCATTCAGTACATATCCAACAGCCAATGGATTTCGTGTAAGACGTCATTAACATACAGAGAAAAACTTGACCTTGTGCAATGCCAAAATGAAGGTATAAATAGATTGTTGTACCGTTAAAGTGCATATGTGTATAACAAAACTATTTAGTATGATTTTAATTTACTGATAACAAAATCAATACATGCATTTTTGCTCCTGTCCCAAGTCAGGAGCCTCTGGCCATTGTTTGTCTTGTATGATTTTTAATTTAGGTCATTTATATGTTTTGGAGTTTAGTATGATGTCCATTTTCACTGAACTAGTGCACACTGTTGTTTTGGGGCCAGCTGAAGCCCTCCTCCGGGTGCGGGATTTTCTCGCTGTGTTGGAGACCCATTGGTGGACTTCGGCTGTTTCTGCTCTTTGGTCGGGTTGTTGTCTCTTTGAAACATTCCCCATTTCCATTCTCAATTTTATTTGTCTTCAGAAATTTTGTCTTCTATTATCAACATTTACCCAACACCTTATTTGCTTCATATAAAAAGAAGTGAAAATGAAATGACTTTATTGAATTATATAGTTATGTAATGTTATGTATCAAAATGCATTTCAAATAACATACTCTTTGTGGTTTTATGCACTAAAACATTACTAGCTTGTAATAAACCTACTAATCAATTTTATTTACTTGGTTTTGATTTTTACTACTTTGAATATGGTTTTTCTCTGTTCAAAAAGAAAAACAAATTTATGAAAAAAATTACCATTACCTGTTTTTGATAGCACTTTAGTTTCTATTTCCAAGGCCAAGTGGAGGCCAGCCACTTTAAAATGAGCTATGAGCGCTGTTAAGCCTTCTTCGTACAGTCCGCCTATATGACTTGTCCAATTTCCCTGTTGTACTGGGCCTACTAGTACTGAAGAATGCGTGAATACACTGCCAGTGGGTGGTATCCAAGGTCCACATAGAGCGTTAGGAAGTCCAGCCAGTGGACAGGAATGGGCATTGACATGATGTACGCAGCAGTTTGTTTCGTCAGCACTAGTAACTGCAGGACAGGCCGTATTCTCGCACCAACTTTGTGCTGTTATAGCATCGCTGTGAAATAAACCAATAAATAAGTTGTGTTATATTTTTTTTACTTTTGTGTATGAAATCGTGAGTGAATGAAATGTTATAGGATACATAAACATTAGTATTAATATTGTAATACATGAAATAAAAACAAATCGGACATTTATCTTTCTCTTATCATGAACAACATATTGGTTTTAGGGTCATATAAATGTCCATAACCCTCGGACTAATTCAACAATCGTATATCAATTATACAGTGCAACTAAATAAACCCTACGTTATTTTGTTAAAGTCAGCATTAGCTGTTCATATAAGAACAAATAACATGTATAAGAATTTCTTCCTATATTTGTGCAGATCGATATTCCTGTTGTGAAGATCGATATTCCAGTTGTGCAGATCGATAATCCAGTTGTGTAGATCGATATTCCAGTTGCACAAAAAGGTGTCTGCAAACTTCCACTTTTTTTATCATGAAAAGTTTCAGAAGTGTGTAAATAGATATAAGGAGATGTGGTATGAGTGCCAATGAGACAACTATCTATCCAAGTCACAATTTGTAAAAGTAAACCATTATAGGTCAAAGTACGGCCTTCAACAAGGAGCCTTGGCTCACACCGAACAGCAAGCTATAAAGGGCCCCAAAAATGACTAGTGTAAAACCATTCAAACAGGAAAAACAACGGTCTAATCTATATAAAAAACGAGAAACGAGAAACACTTATGAACATCAACAAACGACAACCACTGAACATCAGGTTCCTGAATTAGGACAGGTGCAAACAAATGCTGCGGGTTTAAAACATACTTAAAACCTTTCTATCTACTAAAATTTAAATTTAGACATTGCTAAAGGAATATACGCGAAGATGAAACGACCTAAAAGTAAGGATGATAAGATATCAAATCATTTGTACCGACAATTTAATTTATAATTGCACATGTTAAAGATATTTGTCTTCAGTGAAAATAAAAACAGATTTATTTTAATAATGGAACACTGAGAAAGAATAACGATTCATTCTGTTATTCTGGTGACTATTTTAAACTCATATATCACACTGGACTTGATGTAAAAGGTACCACTGATACAGTTAAGTATAACTCGTCTTTTGACTAACTTCCACAAATTGACAAAAAGGGTCGGTTGAGAACAACACTAGACGACAGAAGAGACGATTTCAGCTTTCCATTTCAAAACTTTTCATTTCTCTGAAGCAACATTCCAGCAGCGCCTGCATATGGAGTATTTATCTCCCAAATTGATACAATATTCCAGAACTTGCGTTTCCGTACATTCCTCTATTTATAGAGGGTTTCTGCTGACAAGGAAGACATTGAACCAAACATTCCTAGTAGTAAAGTTGAAGCTATGTCTTTTAATGTTTTACGGGTGCTATCGAGAGCTGGCTAACTGACAGTTAAATAATATCTGTGTCACTGATAGAAACAACTATGTTCCAATTGTCATAGCCGTTCTCCTGTCCTCTTTACCTCATCTATGATATATTAGAATGAGCCTAAACACCGAATTTGTACTAATCATTTGCGACACGACGTTGTTTACCTTTTCGGAGCACCTGATGTCATCCCAAATTTTGGTGTGGTTCGTGTTGTCCAGTATTTAGTTTTTTTATGTAGTATTTTATAGAATGTTTTATGTCTTTTTCTGGTTTTTCTCTGTTTTGCCAACAGACTATCTGTTAGTCTATGTTTGCCAGGTAAAGCAGACTGTCTGTTTGTAAATGTTAGCAGGTAATCCTGACTGTCTATTTTTCTATGTTTGTTATGTCATTCCGATTGTCTGTTGTTCCAGGTTTGTCGAGTAAATCCGACTGGCAGTTGTTCTATGTTTGACTGTCTGTTCTTCAATGTTTTTTATGTAATCCCGACTGTCTGATGATTAATGAATGCAAAGTAAATCTGACTGTCTATTTTTCCACATTTGTCAGGTAATCCCGAATGTCTGTTACTAAATGATTGCCAGGTAAATCTGACTGTCTATGTTTCCACATTTGTCAGGTAATCCCGAATGTCTGTTACTAAATGATTGCCAGGTAAATCTGACTGTCTATGTTTCCACATTTGTCAGGTAATCCCGAATGTCTGTTACTAAATGATTGCCAGGTAATCCCGAATGTCTGTTACTAAATGATTGCCAGGTAAATCCGACTATCTGTTGTTCTGTGTTCGTCAGGTAATCCCAGCTGTCTTTTGTTATGTTTATGTTAGATTCCAATTTTCGCTTGTTCTATTGTTTCCTAATGATTTACAATAATTTTTCTGTTTTCTGGGTTTTTTCTCTTTGTTTGTTTGGTTTTGCTACTAATCTCAAATATCTGTTCTATATTTATCAGAAAATTCTGATTCTCTATTGTTCTATAAAAACAAAAAATGGAGGAAAGAAGACAACGAAAAAGCTACCCAACAAACAAAAATTAAAAAAAAGGCAGAAGACATGTAGATGTAAAATCTTCCAAAAATCTGCCAATAACACAAAATTCCCAAGAGGACATTAAATCAATAATATATACAAAATATAACTACAGACAACCACTACCGGGCTTTCTTACTTTGAAAGACACATGAACATGCGACCAATTTAAACAACGTATTTTGTATGTTGTCGTCGGCTTGTTTTGTATTTTGAAGAATTTGTGACGTTTTATTGTTAAATGGTACACATGTTCCGTTTATTATTTATTTTTAGGATATAGTCATGCTTAATGTTAAGTGTCATAAGTGACAGTAAAATGTACTTACGTAAATCCGGATCCAGATGACCCAGAGTTGTCGAAGTAACCATTATTAAAAGCCCAGGTATAGAATGTTGTATCTAGAATGAGTTCGTATGTCACGTTAAATTCGGTTTCTGCTTCAATTTCTGATGGAGGAGGGACGACCCATCGCATGTTGACACCTGTTATGATATGATTGTAGTAGTTTCCAAGTTAGATAAAACAATAAAGACATCTAAATTGTCGTTCATTAAAATTAAATACTGAACCAATGGACAAAATTCCACTTCCATCTCATGACTAGTTTTGTATACATCGCCATGGGTTTAGACAATTTTTTAAAAGACTTATGTTACCCTCTAGTCGTCTTTTTTGTTCATTTTGTCGTGGAGAGGGGTTTCATTGACGTATATTCCGTATATTATATATATTATAAAAAACATAGAAAGACATTCTCGTCCACTGACTTCGCACGGCAAACTAGCATTTCGTAAGTTGGACTGAACTAGTAAGAGTTTTCAATTGGTCCCTTAAATCTGCAGATGGCATGGTTTAATGAAGGCGACAGTAGTTAAAGATGTTCAAGACACACAATACAAATCTATCCAAAAAGGACTTATCTAAGTATATCGTAGAACAGACAACTTAAACACATACACAATAAACCTGATAAATCCGTAAAATTACATAAAAAAAGTATCTCACGACATCAGTAATAGCAACAAAAAAAAAATTAAAAAAAACAGCAATAAAAAATAAAAAATCCAGAAAAGTACTTGTATCACGATATCTGTATTACAGACAAAAAAAACAGTTCAAGAAGACACTTTAAATCAAGAAAAGAACTTATATCACGATATAGGTATTACAGACAAAAAAAAACAGTGTAAGGATACCAAATAAATCAAGAAAAGTACTTATATCACGATATAGGTATTACAGACAAAAAAAAAAAAGAAGAATGTGTCTGAGGACATGAATGCCCCCGCTCAAGTTTTCAATTTACCAATTTGAAAAGGGGCATAACTCTAGAACGGTAAATGACTCACTGACCAAATTCGAACTCTGTGTGCCTGTTGTGGTTCTTAGAACTGTATATAAGTTAGAGTGCGGAAACGAAAATGGGACGGACGGAAGGACGGAAAGACAGACGGTCAAGGCTAACACTTAGAGCCCTAGTTGCCTATGGCGGGGCATAAAAAAAATAGTTTAAGGAGACCAAACAAATCAAGAAAAGTATTTATATCACGATATCGTTAATACAGACAATACAAACAGTTTGCAGAAGAAAAAAAACATAGTCAGAATCAGGTAAAATTACTATACTTCATATTTAGACCGTTGAAAGACATCTGAATTTATCAATTTTGAAATGAAAGTAATGGAAACAATGCCGTGTTAAACCATGAAATGTTACTATCAATTGTTAACGAAAAATGACGACCAAAACAACAGAACTTGGGGAGTCAGGTTTAAACAATAGTCAATATTATCTACATGTATTGTTACTTTGACGTTAAAAGGAGTTTGAGTAGAGACTTCATATCATGGTACTAGGTTACGAATAGGGAAGATCGAAATACTCTCTAAAGTGAATTTGAAAAAAAAGTGTCTGTTTTGTTTTTGTGTCGTATACATCGACGTACAACCCATATCTTCTTTTATTAAAATAAAAATGCATAACAGCGATCTATTACTAAATCCAGATGATTAATTCTTTCTGCTACACCGATCTCTTTCGCTTTGCATACACATTTGTAAATTGTTAGTTTCCCAATGGATTTAACTAAATATCTTTAAGCAGACCGATTCTGAATAGTTATTTACCACCTTTGAAAAAAACTAATTTAACCTTTTATGTTAGTTCTCCGCAATTTCCATTCAAAGGCATATTAACGGTATCTTAATAGTAGTTTCTAGTTACAATGTTTGTATATATATTAACTTTATTTGTAAAAGTAAACTAATAAATATCTGTTATTCTTGATTTGTAAAAAAAAATAATTCGTTATGCACATGAAGCGTAACAGATTGATGATTCCTTTAGGATAGAATTATTAGAAGGCAATATAAATAAAAATAAAACAAATAACGATCTGGTTTGATTGCTGGGTTTTTTTCATACTATATTTTGAATTGTGCAACGCTTAAAGTGTTTAACTTTTGAGCTCGATTACGTCCCTCACAGTCTATAGGCTGTCAAATCTAAGAGCATTACCTGTTAGAGAATTGATATATATCACGTTCGAATTTTTTTTAAATACGTTATATACACGTTAGAATTTAAACTAAAGCAATATTATCAGAATTTTTATAAGAAGAAAGACAAACTTTATGATGTTATTCTGGAATAACCTTCATTGGGTACTCATGTCCAAAGTTTCGAAAGCAAAACATTACACATTTAGGGTTTTAAAAAGGTTCTTAAATAGTAACATCAAACAATGCCTACGGTCAAATTTGCCTGAGGAGGTTACAACCTTAGTTTAAGGTTAGTTTAGTAATGTGACTATAGTTCATTTGAAACTCCCTAGCCTTCCATGTTTCGGTCGTCATTTTTCATTGACAGTTAAATATGGTAACATTTCATGATTAAACACAGAATTGTATCAATGACTTTTTATTTCAAAACTGATAACCTTAACAATATATTAGGAATTTGAAATGTACAAACAAAATCTATAAATGAAAGGATGACAATAACGAGTACTGGCTACTGGACGTATATGATACCATGATCGACCAAGTAGTAATAAAAACAAATCAAATGGCTTCCGCTGGTGTTATGTATAGTCTCGAGCCGCGTAAAAAAATCAGAAACAACAGGACTAACAGTTCATGGAATCTCATTAGATAATCAGACCATCGGAATAAACCAATTTTAATTGAATTAGTTACTACATCACGCCTATTACTCTTGCTGTTGAAAGATATAAAAAATGATCGCACATTAAGTTTATCCGTTTTTCGACAATTTAGGTTTATTCACGACATTACAATAAAAGGTAGGGTGAGACATACTGTTAGATATTATTATTTTTCTTCAAATCTGTGGTAACTGTCACCATGTAAAAGTTCCGTTTTTGTAAATCTATTGTAGAATCGATCATTAGTTTTTAGAGATATTTTACTCATGGTGTGGAAGATTCAGTTTAGAGTGACACTAACTTACCAGAGCAAGACGTTAAAGGTGTTGGAGAATTTGAATCAGCTGATAATGGCCAACAATGGTATTGTGCATTTCCAAAGGAATGATAACCAGACGTTTTTGGTATCTGAAAAATACAATTGAATATTTATCGTTTTTAGCTCACCTGGCCCTTTCTCATCACTTGGCGACCGTAGTCCGTCGTCGTCGTTAACTTTTACAAAAATCTTGTTCTCTGAAACTACTGATTAAAATTTAACCAAACTTGGCCACAATCATCATTAGGGTATCTAGTTTAAAAAATGTGTCCGATGACCCCGCTTGCCAACAAAAATGGCCGACATGGCTAAAAATAGAACATAGGGGTAAAATGCAAGTTTTGTCTATTAATTTGAAAACCACTATGAAAAGAGAAAATCTGACAAGGATAAAAATGTTTGGAATGATGAGATCTACTTATTGTCCAGTTACTTTCAAACTGTCAGACGACTTTTTATAGGAGTTATTGCCCTTAAATGACGAATTTAACCAACTTTTAAAATATTTGCCTTTTATCTTGAAAATTATAATAGATAGAGAGAAACTATAAGTAGCAAAAATGATTAGCAAGATAAGTCCTACAAATAAATTAGCATGGTTGAAATCGTCTGATGACCCCTTATAGGAGTTATTGCCCTTTAATGACGATTTTTACTATTTTTTTTTGCATTTTTGCCTCATATCTGAAAAGTAAAATAGATAGATTGAAACTTAAATAGCCAAACATGATCAGCAAGACAAGATCTACAAATAAGTTGTATAGTTGAAATCATTTGACGACCCCTTATTGGAGTTATTGCCCATTAGTGATCGTTCTGACCAATTTTTAGCGATTTTGCCTTATGTCTAAAAATCTATAATAGATAGATAGAAACTTAAATAAGTAAAAATGATCAGCAAGATAAGATCTACATATCAGTCAACATAGTTTTAATCGTCTGACGACCCCTTATTGGAGTTGTTCTCTTTAATAACGATGTTTATCATTTTTTTTTGCGTTGTTGCCTACTATCTATATTAGATAGATAGAAAATTAAATAAGTAAAAATGATCAGCAAGACTAGATCAACAAAGAAGAGATTTTTTTAGAAAAAGGACGAGACGTTATTTAATAAATACCTGGCTCATTAGTTGTGTTTTTTTTTGCTCAGACAACGATGACGTTTTACAAAATCAATGATCATCCGAGGGGAATGTCTTATCAAAGTAGTTAATATAGTAATCTTTTTGTAGAAATAAAAGCAATCAATAACTATATATCAACTTGTTTTCGTGGATATCTATATTTTCGCGTTTAGCCTTTTCTAGCCGATAGCGCAGCAAATTATTTTCGCTATTGTCAAACTTTCTTTGCGTAGAGTCGATCAATTATAAGGAGGTGTAGTGTAACCTTATCCTTAACCTTAAATCTCAGCGCCAGAAGACGCATAAGGCCTCCACGCTAATGTTGTGTGATTGCCTATAAAACAACTATCCACCAAATACTGAAAAACGAGAACGTAAAAAACTATAGGTCACCGTACAGACTTCAACATTAATAAGCAAAACCCATACCGTATGGTAATCCTCAATAAAAATACTCTGCATGACAAAATGTGAAACATTCTATAGTGAAAACGAAGCCGCCTGATTTATGCTGAAAACAATAAACGCAAAACAAATAAGACAGACAGCGACCAACGACAACCACTGAATTACAGACTCCTGACTTGGGATATATAGATATAAGAAGATGTGGTATTAGTGCCAATGGGACAACTCTCCTTCTCAGTCACAATTTGTAAAAGTAAACCATTATAGGCCAAAGTACGGCCTTCAACACGGAGCCTTGGCTCACACCGAACAGCAAGCTATAAAGGGCCCCAAATGATTAGTGTAAAACCATTCAAACAGGAAAACCAACGGTCTAATCTATATAAAAAACGAGAAACGAGAAAAACTTATGAACCACATCAGCAAACGACAACCACTGAACATCAGGTTCCTGACTTAGGACAGGTGCAAACAAATGCAGCGTGTTTAAAAGAGAATTTAGTGGAATTAAACATGTTTGCATCCCTCTCCCCCCAAAAAAACATCTATCAATTATTATTTTTGAGCAAGCGATCTGAGGTCAACCCTCTCTCTCTCTCTCTCTCTCTCTCTCTCTCTCTCTCTCTCTCTCTCTCAAAAGTAGATAAGTGGTCAGAGGAGAAAAAAGATGAAAAGATTAGCTGTACAGTTTACCAAAAACAACAAATAAAACTAAGATGGTGCAACTTGAACCCCATCATAAACCGATGTGAACACAGGCGCTCTGGTGTATACAGCTGTTCCTGCTCCCTGCGTGCCCCCTCCTCATAGAACACATCATAGTCATATGACAGATTTTTTTTTCCAGTTACAATTTTTGGATGTGTTTTTTTTTTTACTTTTTTTTTTATGTTTTAGTTGCCATTTTTCCCGATGATCTTTGTAATGAGTTTTTTCTTGGGAGATATGCAGAACTACCTAGCATTTTGTAGAGTAAGATTTATGTGTTAACCTATTCATCATACCTCTTTTTTATATTTAAGCAAAATAAAGTCCTTTCATTGGACACGTTATGAGTTTATTATCCTGTCTTGAATAATATCTACATTAGACTTTGTTGACTTTAAGTAGATTCAAACCTTTCGGTATTATAATTCGCCATGTATTTATGTCATTTTGTTGGCCCCAACGTTTTGTTCAGGGCATTTTTTATGAATGTTATGCTAGAAATACGCGTACGTCAACTTTTTTTTTACTTTTAAATATCCGCATATGTACCAAGTTGCTCTTTTAAAAGATTTATTATAGTCCATTTACATGACAAAGAGGTAAACATTTCTGTTTGTAATATTTTGAATAAATATTGTATTGTATCATCAAAGCTGAAATGTTTGACTTATAAACAAAGTGTTTAAATTAACCAATACCTCACAAAGTTATCAAAAATTACAAGGAGCCCTTAAAAACCGCATACTTGACAATGTATTTCATATACAAAATTTATTACAAATTATGAAAGCTGTTACAAAATTAAAAACGTTGACCAACACGTGGAAGTAAATCATTTATTTGGTCCCAATTAATTGTTTGGATTTCCCTAAACAAATTATATTGAATTTTCCATTGCTTTATGCAAGTGAGTTGTATATTTTTTTTAGCTTTGCTCGCAGAACCTCTAGTGCAACTCGCTTCGAGGTACTGCGAGCAAACCTCACAATATGATATACAAAAGGTCAACCCCTCCCTTACATACATCCAAAAATGGTCTTTAATCTAGATATGAAGCCATTTCTTAGTGTGATTCATATGGTCACAGACAGAACAAAACAAACGTGCATAGTATTGTAATGAAATGATTGATTGTTGGTCCGTAATTATTTGATTGATTTCAAGTAAAATAAAAATATAATTTTGATATTTTGGAGATAGTTATAAAAAGGTAATGAATTTTTATTATACTTTGTTTCTAAAATCGCATATGTAAATAAAATTATATATACAGGCAATAATTTTATTTCAATTCATTGCTAATAAAAACGTAATTGTATTGAGTATTAACCGTGCTTTGAGTGGGCAGCAGCCCATTTTGTGATTGTTAACATGGCAAAGCGAAACATCTTGTGTTAAAAGTGTTCAGTTCTAGAATCAAATCGGTAATTGGCAAATAGACTATTCGGTATTTGACCTCAAGATGTTATTCTAGTTTATTATACCTCACGTTATAATGCCTTATTTTGATTGGCTAATACGAGGGTGTTAATTTACTCTATCACATGGCTGAGCGGGTGACAATTTTTTTGAATGTCACCCTCTCATCCAGACCGGTCAAAAATCGATAAGTTAAAGGACAATGAATTGAATTTACACCAAGTTATTAAAGACAATGATTAAGTTCTACGTTTTGGCTCAGATTCTATTATTTGACGGTCAAAATAAAAAATAAAACATCTTGATTCACCTCTGTTGATTTTTCTTATACCCATAACGTTGTTATGTACGTGACGTCATAGAAAATACTTTTGAATAAAATTCATCTGAAAAAGACAATAATGATAGGACATTCAGTATAATAAATTAAATAACACATAGCTGAGAGGGTGAAAGAGCAGATTGATACCCCTCGAAAAAGCATTGTCAACCTTGGCTTCGCCGCGGTTGACAATGTTTTCTCGGGGTAACAATCTGCTCTATCACCCTCTCAGCTATGTGTTATTTATATATTATGATTCTCAATCTATATATAGTATTCTGCGTATTATTATGTGAACAGTTGTTTTTCAGTTCTTCTTTTATTCTTTTTACCATGCTCTTGTCTGCCTTTCCGGACGTTTGATTTTGGTTATCCCATTGTATCTTCTCACGTCTAATTCAGAAGCGTTTTTTTTTAACTTTCATCATATTATTTTTACGATATACAAAGGAGTACAGCACGCTAAATAAAAAGGGGGACAAGGTTATGGGTGTTGTTGGTGTATATATATATATAATTGTTGATAATTTGATATGAAATCAAAATAATAATTGGAATTCCAATTGTGTTTCTTATTGAATATGCTCCTGTTACACAGTCTTTTGTTGCTGAGTTTTGTATTAAGTGTGTTAAGATATATATATATATAAGTACGTATAAACAAGTGACAACTGTACGACAGATCCATTCATTGGATGACCAGTGAAGGTGATGCACGGCTGAAAACACATACTCTAAATATCACCACAACAATGTTAAATCTGCAAATTTGAGGAAGCAAATTTTTGTTCTTCCCTCGCCGGAGTTATATATATGTTAATGACGTTTTCATTCATTTTGGATCCCAAGTAAATAGATTGATTGGCATATCCATGTTATTCCTTCATAATTAAGACAAGATCAGGTTTATCTTTTATCATCTCGTAGGATTTGAAACATAGACAGGGCGAAGGGAAGATTATATTTTAGAGGCGCTCGACGTATCTTTTTTATCATGGCCAGAAATACGCCTTGCAACAAAGTCGTATATGGATCTCTCTGATTTGTTGTCGCTCTGGTTCTTAAACATGCAACAATAATGACATTCTCTCAACACACTTAATACAAAACTCAGCCACAAAAGACTGCGTAACAGGAGCATATTTATTAAGAAACACAATTGGAATTCCAATTATTATTTTGATTTCATATCAAATTATCAACAATTAATGTGAATACAACATTATCAAGCTTACATTCAAATACATGGCAAAGTTCAGTATACACGTTTTGTCAATAAACGACGGATTTCCTTAAAAATTAATTCGGCTTGTCGAATTCCTCACTAACTAAATTTAAAGTCTTTGTTAAAATTACAAAATATTATATAATCAGCCTTATTAAGAAACGTACAAAATACAAAAACACTTACAAGGAAAAAGAATCAAAATTGATTTTCAAAATATTGTTTTAATATAATAAAGGACAAATGATTACAACTATACATCATGTAAATACATGCAAGTAAAGCATTCATTTATAATTTTGAAAACCCCAACATTTTACGTTATATGATTTAAGATATAATTTCATAATGATCATGAATAAAAAAAAAAAGGTTCCTCTAAATCAAAGCCATCATTGTCACCGTATGATGGACACTTACGGAAAGGATTTAGTAGTGTTAAAATGACTTACCAAACAAGTCAGTATAATCCAACAAAATAGCCTCACGTCAAACATTATACGGTTACAAAAAATAAACAACTATTGGTTTTTATGACTACTTTGGCAGTTCTTGCGCAGGTCTGTATATTTTTCCATAATATTTTTTAGAGAATTTAATCTGAGCTCGTCGTTAGTATATCAAATTTCACAACGTTAATAATGTAACGATATTCAAACAACTGAAGATTTTTCATTCGTACATTGTTTTGACTTAAATGTGAATTGTCATAATGTCATAAGCTGTAAAGTAGTTATCGGTTTCCATCCTAGAATATGATCTACTTCCAGTCCTCCTGGTTATTTAATCATCATATATCCCGTTAAAGATTTGTCAACAGTATTGATCTCTCCCATAATTGATTTCTATTTCATTATTTGGCAATTAAGACATTAAGACTTATTGTTTACCATTCGTCCCTTGCTCAATTGTCCAGTACAT